TTTGGAATTGAAACACAGTCAGGAAAGTATATACGATTGCCGATAAATTAAACATCGGTCATTAGTAGATCCAGGATTAAAAAGCACCAAAATTGTCGAAAAAAGGTCTTGAAAGCAAATTGATTTCTTTCAAAAAAGCATTAAAAATGCAGCAAATTCCTTCAATAGGGTCAAAAATTTAATTTTTTTAAACGTATTTTTTATATAATAAAGGTAAAGTTTATTCTAAATAAAAGCGAGAAACAAACAAGTGAAATTATTAGTATCTCAAGCATGAAATCACTAAATGTTTATTTAAATGTTCCACTGTACAATTTTGCGGTCTATCACTAACAATTTTTTTGTAAGTAGAAAAACTTATCATAGGGTTTTGTAGAATTTCTCCATTTAAAACCGAAAACATATCTTTCAACTTTAGGAATCCATCGTGTTTTGATAAAACATCGTTTAGTTTTTCAAATTTCCATCGCGTTCGGTGAACAAGTAAAAGAAATAGAACGACAATTATTGCTTCACTGCTAAAAAGCTTGCGACAAATTAAAGGTTTTCGTTGCGATATTGGCATAGGAAAGTCCACGGCCGGGGCAACAGCAGCCGCATAGTAGGCCCAAACGGCGACACTGCGTGGTGCGGCGCAGGCCTACAAGCCAAATTTCGTCGGTTATACATCGATATGCTCGATGAAAATTTTCACTTTTTGTCTACTATATGTAAAATTTTCAATCTTTTTTATATGAAATGCTTAATATTTTCGCGGCCATTGATTTAAAAATCGGCGGTTTTCAATTCAAAAATTTGTCAAGTGGTTTCTCTCTGAAAATTATGAAATTCGATGCGTTGATGTTTATGCAGATTTTTCTAAACTGATCATTTGGATGGATTGTTTTCATTAAATTGTTGGTCTTATTAAAACAAAAATTTGGAAAATAGCGGCAAATAAGGGCAAAAAATTGAAATAAACACAGAAAGGACAACAAAGCATTAAAAAGTCTGTCAAATCATGTGTTTTTGCACATTTCGTTCACATTAGTTAACGAAAGCCTATTTGCATAATTCACTTTTTACGAGAGCAGTCCACAACTTGGCGTTTGACTGAAAACATCATTTGAAGTTCCAAAAGTGAGGTTAAATTTGCTGAATGTAAATAATTGATTGGAAAATTAAGTCACTTTCTTCAGTTACGTTATTCATTTGCCTTAATTGTTGGCGTTAATTCTGAGCGCTAAAGGATATTATTTTCGTGGTGGTAAATCTGCAGTCAAATTACGAAGAAAATAGAGGAAAAAAATGGAGAACTCATATAATGGTGGTGAATATACCAAGAAAATGAACCGTTGAAGTGAACAAGTAAAAAACATACGTTAAAAGCATCAAATTTTCGTCTCTCTCGATGGACAAGTAATAGGAAAAGGACGATAATGATTGCGTCACTGTCAAAAAGCTATAGTTGTCAAACTGACGTTTCCTAGACGTCAGTAGAAGCTAGAACCGATCGTTACCGGGGAGTTTGAAATAGTAGTCGATTTCAGTTCAGTGATTTGCAAACGCTATTATTAATTACGGCGTGTTGTTGTTTTGGTTGAAATGTAATGGAACAATGAAAGGTTTGAGTTTCTAAGGTCGCGCACTGGACTAGAACGGGTTGTATACGCGGCTGACAGTCAAGGAAACGACAGCCTGGGAAAAGTCCCGCCATTGTTTCGGTAATGACTCGTTTTGCTCCACGGTCCATGACGTCTACGATCACAATAATGTGAACCGGCTGCTCATTGTTGTATTGTTCGGTTGAATTTCAACGAATCGCCCCCATTGTTTAATTCGCTAAGATCTGTATAGTGTGTGTGGCTCACAGAGTTTTCATTTTCGCTCGAAAAAATGTCCAGGAGCAAACTGAGCAAACAAAATAGTCTAGTTATGTCCCTTCCCAAAACAGTATCTAATAGGACAAGTAGCTGAATTAATTTTAATTAGTTGATTAGCGCATTAAAACAATTTCGAGTGTTTTTCTTTTTGACAAATGATCGAGAACTATCCTTAGCTGAACACCCTATATGTACATGACGCTAACGCGGAAGATATTTAAGAAGTACTGAATGAATCCCATGAATGATAAACTTGAGGGCATAGAAAAAGGGACCAACCTAAATACCTATTAGTAGCTAATATTAAATCTCATAATGAACTTGGCAGGAGAGAGGAGAGGTAATTCATTTCAACATTCCAATAGATTTTCATGCTATATTTCTTCTGACATCCCACTTCTAGGCAGAAGCGGATCCAGCATTCGAGTCAGGGGGGTCAAGTAGTAGAAATTCAGCCTTTTGTTGTGTATGAAATTAGAAAAATTAGCGTTAGTCGCTGTAAACCCAGCACAAGGGGGGGTCATGACCCCCATGACCCCCCCGACTGGATGCGCCCTTGCTTCTAGGACACAAGAAAGGTTTTTACCATTGGAATCACATAAATTACAATTTATAATCCGATAAAATGTTCTATGGAAAGACGCGCAGGGCTATGGAAGACTGAGCCTTAATTTTTGATGTTTACAGTCGATATATGAAACTTAAAATTTCATTGTCTGCAATTTACTGTTACAATTTAAAACTGCTGTAGCCAAATTCGGATTATCCCCATTATTGATCATAATAGCACAGATTAGTAGACTAATCTCTGATAATAGTAGGTTTTACTGATTGTTTCTTTTCTTTCCAGGTAAGTGGATTTTAACACATTCTGCAGTTTTACTTCAACTTCGAAGTTAATTCACGTAAGTTCAGTTGTTAAAGTTTTGGGCAAGGTAGCATTGATATTAAGTATCGGCCGAGGCAAGCAAATTTCTCTTAAGACAGCTAAAAGGCCTTGGAAAAAAGGAGCGCTGATATCGGAAACCGATGAGAGGAGCGTCTAAGTATAAACAGCCCGGTTAGAAAGTGCGGTGAAACATCGAATGGAAAGTTGGCATCTCGATTGAAAGTTGTTTACTCCAGCCCGGTCACCTGTTGGGTGTATATCAGGTGCAATTCCGCATAGTTGAAAAAATCCGCTTGGAAATGCGCCACATGTAAATCGGTAGCTGAGGTGGAGTCAATGCCATTTCAAATTTAGACATGGATTTGGACGATCCAAGATCGATCAGTAACAGCTACGTGACTCACTCTATGTCCTATATTTCATTTTCGATCTGGCGAGCGGTAGACGGTGCGTGATCAGCCTCGAGGGGCCACGCTCGACCTCTCCCTACTTTCTTCCGTTTCGCCCCCAGGTTGAACATGTTCAGACAGATCGATGAGGCACAATAACCCCTTTACATCAATGAGAACGCCGATTTACCAGGCTTATCACCTCCCAACCTACAGCTTGCGCTATTTACTCACAGATAACCGCAAATCTGTGTCGTTTTTTTCATTTTCCTGATATCGATCATAATCAATGGGGCGCACTTTATTTGCGCAATATTTTCTGTGCTTTAGATTATCGATTCCTGGGTCTGCAGGATGAAAAAAATCAGCCGATTTCGGTAATAAAACGTCGACCTTTTCTGTAGGTGAGATCGCAATGAAAGCGAAAACCTGAGCGCATTGTTCAAATTATTGATGTCCCTGAAGCTTTAACGATTATCTTTGGTCCGGTTCAGATTGAGGTCCGAGGACGGAGGAAAAGAACGCCTAGCTAGCAAAATTAATTTAAATCGGTTTGATATACCCGGATTTTGTATACACTGTGTCCAAGCTAAGAAGGGCCCAGTATGAGGGCATCGAAAACCGTAATTTACACGAAGTAGCTTAAATGAAGGAAAAGTTAATCATTATTTAGAAGAAGCCCTCGATAATCTGCTTTTAGCCGAAGTACGCGATTCGCGGGCCCACAATTCAAGAAGGGTTAGAGATTATACAGGGTATCCCGTAAGCACATGATCAAAAGGGTACTGCCATATTCTTTTGATCAAAAGAAGACGATCTGACCTAACTTTTATTAACAAAAAATGTCTGGCTCCTCTGCTATTGATGGTCAAAGTTCTTCAAAAAAATTATCTTTTTTGAAATATCGGGAGAATGGTACGATGTATTTTGGTGAAACTCGCTGTGCATTTGTTCTTATGTAAGACTCATATTTTGATGAAACAAACGAGTTCATCAGTTTTGGACATGTGGTGAATTACTGCGTGTCGTGGTACAAAAACTACCAGAACTTTTTATTTGGTAGCTGGAATCAAATCATTTTTTTTGGTTGATGCACTAATTATGCATTCACAATTTTATTAGTCTTTTCACTGTCCAACTTTTTTGCCAATTAACTAACTTCGTATTATTTGCGGTTTTCGATATCTATATAATAATACAGTGCAGGTAGGTAGGTATATGTGGAGTGGAATGGGATCGAGAACTTGTTTTCTTTGGCTAAGTCCAGCGCAATTTCGCTAGGAGTAGGAGACTTAAGGATTAGTCAAAATTGTAGCTAAAATGTTAAGAACAAGGGCTACTTACTTTAAGAGATAATTAAAAAATCAAGTACTTACCTGATTCTAAATGCACCGAAAAACACCTGTAACGAATTATTGACAAAAACAGCCAAATATTGAGGTTTTTTTTTTAAATAACACCGTTAAAAATGCCAGTTTTATTTGCGCTTGTATTGGACGCTTAATAACGCTTGTTTATACCCGGTGGCCGTCCAATTAGCTCGGGCTTTTTCAATTCAACAGCCTTGATTAGCTCGAATGTTTACATTTTCGAAAAATTGATTGAAGAAAAACTCGTTTTCTGTCCATGCCACCGCAAGCTCCGCTTTTGAACTTGTTTGTTCTCATCAGCTGATTTCAGCTTAAAATTGCCAACGTTTCGTGGCAATTAAAAAAAAAGAGGTGCTTGCGAATGACAAAACCTAAAACCAATAAGCTACGAAAATTTAAACAATGCTGCTACCGGAAAAGTTATACTATCATCGGGCGCATTCACCATTGCATTCAGAATTTACAGTGAAAAACCAAAGTGCTCACTTACCCCCTGTCTGAACATGCTTCAGTTTGCCTATCTGAAAGCAGAAAAACCGCCTTTAGAGCAGCAGTTAATACACAACAGCCAACTTTTTACCTCTTGCACTGTTGTCCAGTGGCTCTGAATGTTCCTTCTTCTCTGCCCCATTTCCTTCGTAGTTGCTGTAAACCTGGTACTTGCTGAACTGCTTGTACTGAGCGATTTCCGATCGGAGCTCTGTGATCAGGACTTTCTTGTGGAAAACATTGTCAGTTCTGGATTGGTGTATTTCGGACTTCAAAACCGCCAACCGGGGGCTGTTAGCGCCCTGCCCGGTTTGCGCAATTGTGGGTCTTCTGTTCTCCAAAATTTCCTGTTTCAGGGCCTTTAAGTTTCGTTCTCGATGAATCAGAGCAGGGTCTGTAACCGATTTCAAAATTGCGCTTCTCGGGTGCACCGAGGAAGCATTTTCTCTGGCGGTTTTTACGGCCCTGTGGGACTTATTGGCTCTTCTATTCGCCGCAGCATTGGGTTTTGATCGGTTGCAAAATTTATCCACTTTGGACTCCAAACTGGAAGAAGAGCTGCTCTTAAAGACCTGAATATTTCTGGGTGGTTTAGCTCGGAATCGCCTTGGTGGGACGGCCACCTCTTCTTCACTCTCAACGTTTACTAACGGAATTACGGCCTGTAAATTTACGCGACACGCATTCAAGTCAACAGCCGGCTCAAAGTGTTTAAAAACCTTGCAAGTTTGCCGCACCAATCGCGGCTTTTCGATGTTTTTCACCACTTTTTTCGGAGACGACTTATTAGCCATGTTTGTTTGTACACAAAGTTTTCAAGGTTAGGTTTGGGTGTTCTGGGGCCAATCCACCAAATGCAAGGCCTCAAGGCACATCATTCAGTTGCGCGATCTTAGTTTTGCGATCCGGGCAAACAGGGTTTAAAACAAATTCAAAACAATCGCGAAATTGAAGCCGGAAGTGCGAAACATTTCAGAGCAACGCGGGAGACGTTTAAATTTCAAACTGTGCGAGTTTCCCGTTGTTTGTAGTAGATGGCGCCAGGAAACTGGTTAAGATTGAAATAGAATTCTGGAATTAAAAAGTCCAAACGGGTATTTGCGCCAAAATTATAACCTACACTTAACGAGTACTATTTCACATTTATTTTGCTTACATTTGGTGATGCTAATTTTTACATGGCACTCAAGAAAGTTGAATTTGAAAAATTGCACAGGTTTCTGCACCTATTCGACCGCTGTTCGCTAGAGGAGACTGCTAATTTTTTTTTGGTTAGAAATTCAATTTTCCCACTGACATTGACATACAGACTACAAATGTAAACATTTATAGCAGTAGCAGCTATTGATTGAGTCTTTACTTGTCTCTATCTATGGATTGAGTCCAAATAAGAGAGAAATGAGTCAGCCCGAATCGCTTGCTGGGGTTCAAGAGGCGGAAAATGCCCTCAAGTCTTTGCAAATTGGAGCAGAAACTGACGCAAAGAAAGGCGATAAACTCAAAGGTAGCAATCAGCATTCACTCCGGTATTTTACACTGAGGAGGACTTGTTTCAGTGGATATACTCCTCAAGCCCACAGGCAATGCCCCCATAATGAAGAAAAAGAAGTGGACAGTGGAAAGCGACAAGCCAGTGGGGTGGATTATCGAGTTTGTAAAAAAGTACCTCAAGCTGGACTCTAATGAGAAACTGGTAAGCAATTTCCGGTTGCTGGTAAGGTCACTAAACGGCGTATCTTGCAGTTTGTTTATGTGAACCAAACTTTCGCTCCTGCTCCAGACCAGACTGTGAAGAACCTTTACGAGTGCTACAATGCGGACAACAAACTAGTTCTCCACTACTGCACTACACAGGCTTGGGGCTAATTCACAGCCAGAATGATATTGTACATACTTTTACTCTTATATCCTTAATAGTTCACTTGCCGCATTTACCATTAGAAAACTTCAACACCACTTCTATGAATTCATTGTTGGTTCTTTAGTGTCCTCATCAGTCATTGTTTCTGTGCCTTCTTCTTCTCCTCCGATGATGATTTCATCTGGATCGGGGGCGCGAGGTAGAAAATCCAAACCAGGATACATTTTTTCGAATATCCCCTTCGCCTGCAAGTGTATGTATTAGCCACTATCCACGCAAATTTGAAGAAATTCGTCCTTTTTCCAGAGCGTTCAGGGCGGATTGTTATCGTGTTGTGTGGTTACAAGTTCGGTTTAATCAACTTAGGATTTCGAGACACACTTCCTAAGAATCTTCTCTTGAGATCTTAACTTGTCATAAAATTTAATAAAAATTGTAGGAAAATACTGAAATAACAAGTTGCGTAAACAAATATTGACTTACATTGTGAATGGCTGCATCATAATCCAAATCCAAGTTAGGGCCGCTGCAGAGGAATACATTTTCGGGTAAATCCTGCATCTGCTGTTGTTGGGCAGCTTCCGGCAGGCTAAAATAGCACGACCACAATATCTTCGGCTTGCCATCCTCCTCATTGCCGCCTAATAGATTACTGACTATGTGCTGCAAGTCTTCTTTAGGGCTGGAGACTAGCTTGGTTGTCATATGAAGCAAGTCTGAAACAATCGGGTATTTAGAAAGGACAATAGGATAGTCGGAAAGTTATTGGGGCCTTACAGAAGCCCTTAGGGCATGTCCCTGTTAGGTGGCCCATTTCCACGATGGTTGCCAGTGGCTTTTTGTCATCCGGCGGGTAAACTAGCAGCGTTAAATGCTCCTGCTCGCTAGGGATTAACGACTTATCGGTAACGAACACAGCTCTGGAAATTTGGTTGCCATTTGCAACCGAAGCGAGGAATTGGGAAGGCGAATGCTCGGCACCCAACACGAAGTGCTGGGCTTTGATTTCCTGGTCTCCATTCAGCAGAGCTTCCACTTTGTGGTTCTCCAGTTTGAGACCCGATAGGGAGGGCTGATTTAGTGCGAAGACGCCTCCAAATACTGCACTCAACCTTCAGAGGATGGACTGAGTTTAACTAAGGCGCTTCGTGGAAAAGTTGCCGTTACCTGCAAAAGGCCTGAGGTGTTTCGCCGCTTCCGTACATGGAGAACAAAAAGGGGGTTTTGCCGAAACGCCCCAAGCTGCCCAAGAAGCGCTTCGTATTGGAAATTCCCTCGTCCAGTGAGGTTTCCTTTGAGCCTCTGGCCATCGCATAAAGCACAAAGTGAACTAAGTTAGGAGGTATTTTCCTTGCCTGGAGGAACTGTAGGAAAGTATCCGGTTTGTCGTCGTCTGGAAGAACGAAAGTTAAAACTCAGGCGAGGTAAGACGTACATTTTACCTGCGTCCAAGTCGCGGTCCAGGGAAGTGAGAAGCTTCATGAGCAGTCGCTTCTCGATCACCGATACGTTTTTGCTGGAAAATACGTCGGCTCTTGAACACGGCACCGGCTCCAATTGGCCTTTGAGCCAAGTCAGCACCCTGCTAACGCTCCGATACTCCGCATACCGAGCTATGTTGGAGGATATGAGCAGCTCCACAAAACTACCCCTGGCATAATGCAGCTGCATTTCAAAGACCCCAGTTTTCAAGCCAACTAAGGCAGGCATATAGGTGGATGTTTACTCACCTTTGGCACCAGATCAATATTGAATTTTCTAGAAATCTTCAGCAAACTCTCCTGGCTGTGTTCTTTCCCCCGACTCTCCTCCAGGTTCATCTGTTCCAAATCTCCTTCTATATCAGTTTCGGGAGGCTCTAATTTCTCTGGCACATGCCAATTGCTCTCGAAGTGGCCGATATGGGAAACCGCGTTGCCAATAGGCAGGTGGTTTAGGGCTGGACAGCCCCCCTGACTAGTTTCTGGTGACTTTGGGGCGTAGTTGTGGAGACCCTCCAAGTTGAACGAGGCCCACAGTCCCCCATAGTAATCGTTGCTAAACAAAGGAAGGCTGAACTATTCTCTTAGAGCATTGCCGTTCAGTGTCTTACCTGTCGATGTGCAGCACTGTTTTGCCAATCCTGCTGGCTGCAGCTGAGATTATTGACTCAATCATGCCTGGAAATTGAGAAAAAGGTTCATTCCGAAATGAAGGGCAAATATCTTGAACTGAAATAAATTGCTTACCAGTACCGACAATGACCAGGTCGAATTCGGACGGCAATTGGTCATTCATTGCGATTTTGTTGTTAATAACATTCAAAAACAGTCAACAGATCTCGGTTGTGACTCTAACAGCTGATCGAAGCTTGACAATCAGCTGCTTTGGCTAGCTCCGTTGCCGCATCGTGCTGTTAAAATTTCTTAGATAACCTGTAGTGGCTATGGTATCCCTTTGTCTGCAAAAAGGGAAACATTTTTGTCAACCTACGCTGCTGGTTCTCAGAAACTTCTTAGAAAATCTAGCAAAATTACGCAAAAAAACACAGTACGAATGCAAGTTGCTTGGAAAAAGCTGGGTAATTCCCGAGCGCCTGACAACGTCGACTAAGAATTTGACCATAAAGTCAGCTTTGTCAAGTCCTTTCAGTAAGTGACAGTAGGTGACAGTGATTCGTGTCCATTGTTATCAAAACACAGTGTCTTGGTCTAAAAATTGCGATTTTTTCCTTTATTAATGCCACTAGCCCCCCAGGAAGGTAACCGAAGCCCTACTAATATATTCAATTCGTGTGTAGTACAGGTTTTTGTTTGATTTTTCAAGATGCCGATCCTCTATAGCGTTGTGTCAAGGGGAACCACTGTTTTGGCCAAATACGCCAGTTGTGCTGGAAACTTCGCTGAAGTGACCGAACAAATCATTGCCAAAATACCAGAATACGACGACAAACTGACCTACTCTCATGGCAACTACTTATTCCACTACATATGCGAAAACCGCATCATTTACATGTGCATATCGGACAATGTAGGTATCATACTCATTAACTACACCCAAGGGTCTTCACTCGTTGCTCAGTCGTATTTTTCAACAACTGTTTGTTTATTGTGGGTATCGCTTGAGTTGAGATAGCGGTAATTTCAAGGCTCCGATTTCCTGCTATCTGATAAAACTAGTAAAATACTTTGGTTTCTATAATGTGCTAAATGAGCCCCATTTCCTTTAAGGAATTCGCACGCAGTAGAGCCTTTCTGTTTCTCAATGAAATCAAGAGGCGATTTCAGGCCCATTACGGGCCTAGCGCTGACACCGCTTTGGCCTACTCATTGAATTCGGACTTTGCCAGAGTGTTGGCGACCGAAATGAAGCATTACAGTGAAAGTCACGATGTGGACACCATTTCCAAGGTCCACAGCGAACTGGACGAGTTGAAAAACATCATGGTTAAGAATATTGGTGAGTAGGGTGGCGCATTACCACTTACTACCGATTAGATGAGCCAGTAAGCGGGAAAGTTGTCCGTGGAAACTTTGATAAGTTGACATTGCAGCTAAAAGTACCTACGATGTACATTATGCATGGAAAAGCGCAATAGTACTTGCTTATTATTTCCCCAGTATTGCGGCTTTACGACGTCGGTTAGACGTGAGTTTCACTCATCCATATGACGTAAATTAGTTAAGGAATACCTAAAACAACGTGATATGTACGTCATTAGGACCGCATAAAATCTGTTGTTTGTGTCAGTCAGATGCCAAATATAAGAAGATTGCGCGGATATAATACAATAACACTAAAGAATACCGCAAGAAGCTTGGTAAAGGACGTAAACGACGCACTTGCGCCAATCGAAAGCCGATGTCTGATAAGAATGAATTCTTGCAAATCGCTCAATCTGGGAAAAAGGAGTGGCTTACTAACGAGACAGTAATGCCAGGACTGAAGAAGGTTGCCATAAGGCCGAAACGTCCTGCTAGAGCCCCAGATTTTTTTTTACCAAATTACGAAACCAGGCTCGAAGAGGTTGCGATTGAGGCACTAAAGCCGAGGGAGAAACCATCCCCAGACTTCTGATGCATACTTTGGGAAAGTATTCGGTAATATTTCTTCATACAGATTACTAAATTTCAAGTAAATTTATCAAATGAGATTATCTGCTTGGATTTTAAATTTGCTGGATGTATGAATGAGAAAATAAGTCGATTTAAATGGTACCTATGCAGAAGAAAACATATTTTGCGTTGTTTCTCGGATGATTTCGCCCTCAATTACGTCTATGGCGTCGATCAGACCTGAGTTTTTCTCCTCTATATGATGCAAATTACTTAAAAAATACCTAAAAAGTATTTAAAATCGCACAAAATATTATTTACTAGGTATATTATATTGAAGATGTTAGGATTGGGACACTAAAGCTGTCTGATGCTCATTCTATGCCACCTTCTGAAGCCACAATGTGAGCAACAAATTTCGGTTTTTGCTTAATTGCAGAATTATTAAGACAATTAATATAAGAAATTATTAAGTATCTACTGACCAAACCTTACTATCCTTTACAAAGATGGAAGTGGATTTAATTTCAGAATGTGGATCGGTGTAAAAACAAATACCCGATTTTTTATTGCCGATGTTTGGCAAAAAGTCGGCAATTTAAAGAAAAAGCGGTTGGTTTTAAATGCAAATACTAAAGAGTGTTTGGTTAGGAATCGCAATCAAAGTAATTTTCCGGTATTCCTGCAAGCATTTTAGTTGAAATGTTGATGTCGACTTAGCAAAGTTTCCAACGGTTTTGTGGATGGATTAGCCGCTTCATTCGTTGCAAATCGGATACATTTCAGATAATGTTGCTATGAGAGGCGAAAGACTGGAGCTCCTGGTAAACAAGGCGAATGATTTGCAAACGGGCGTAAGTTGTATGGGCAGGGTTTCTTCGTTGTTGTTGAATCAAGTCTTTTCCAGTCCGTATCGTTTAGACACACCAGCCGAACCTTGGCTCGATCCATGTTCTGGAAGAACATCAAGCTCTATGTGATTATTGCCGCAATAGTAATTGTGATCGTCTATTTTATAGTATCGATGGCCTGTGGGGGGCTTTTATGGAAAGGATGCGTGGCCAAGTAAAATCGCCTTTTACCAGTGTCAATTATTATCACCCTTTTATTATTGACTACATTAATATTTATATTTCGTTGCCTACATAGGGTTTAAGAAATGTTTTTTATATACTAAGATTTAATAGTTACTTAGCGATAAGAACCCGGATGCATTGTGGACTCTGATATTCCACCACAATGCTAGTAGATAATAAAATATTAATTGAGCTCACTGCTGTCCCAATCTTCAAAGTCGCATCGAAACTTCACTCCTAGTTCCTTGCGAATCAAGTCCATCCATCCAGCTAGTTGGATAGACTCCTTATGAGTCATTTGCGGACTTTCAATTTCCCCAGCTAAAATGCTGCGTCGCACTTCTGCAGCCTCATAAGCAAGACCTGCCGAGTTCTGGTAGTTGAACGGACCCTGGTTGTCCAACAGCGGCATTTTCCGGACTTCTCCATTCAAGCTGAAGCTGGTCGGACACCAAAAGTCCGGTATCCGAATGGCCCCGGTTGTGCCGATAATCAAGGCTGCAATGCTTGCAATTAGTGCACCGATAAACCACTGCATCTAGTCACCTTCGTTGGGCATTTCCAAGGAAGCGTTGCAGCTGAGCACGGCGATTTTTTGCCCTGGGTAGGTGAAAGTGGCTGCGGCTGCAACGTCCACGCCCTCTTCATTTGTATGTCCGGCTACTGCCACTTTCAATGGCTGAAGATTGCCGAATACTAGCTGTTGCAGCTGCAGCATGTAAACACCCAGAGTTAGAGTGGCCCCGCCCCCTAACTCTTTGCGCTTTACGCGGTCCAAGTCTTCCAGACGGTCTCCGAACGCTGTTGAGACGAATCGGGGCTGAAGCAGACAAGAGTCCAAGTTGGTATGGAATGAAGTGAGATGAGGAATCGAAAACCTCGTTTTAAATTTTGTGTTTTCTCACTTAAAGTGAAACGTGTAAAACCGGTTCAATTTTCTTATCATATTTAAGGGCTGCTATGATAGATTTAATGCGGTTCAATATCGAATTATCTTTCTTGCCTCACCTCCCCAACAGCGCTCGCATCCAGCAACTGGCGTACCCGGCGGTAGACAGGAAAAAACCTGGACCAGATCCCCTCCATCAGGAACAGGTTCCTGCTACGCGCCAACTCCACCATCCTCCTCGCTTGTCTTTCGTTAAGTGCGAGCGGTTTCTCGCAAAGCACATGCTTACCATGCTGCAGCATCAGTGTAGCCACCTCAAAGTGCTGCGAATTCACCGCGCCCACATACACCACCTGGACGTCTGGATCCTGAGCTAGCGCCCGGTAATCTTCGTAAGGACGATCGACATCATGCCGCCCGGCAAACTCCTGCGCCCTGCAGAAAAAGAGGAGTAGCTGTAGAGAAGTTGGACCAAAGGGCGCGACTGCTGACCGTTGAAGGGCGCGGGCTGCCACAGCAACCACGCGATGCTCCCCGGGGGGCAGCCCTTTAAGGGCCTGCACAAAGTCGCTTGAAATGTTGCCTGCTGATGCAATTCCCCATCGAAGCGCCATCCTTCACTGACTTAATAACCGGATCACCATTTAAATGGTGCTCAGATAAACTTATGGCTTTTGCTTGATAAGGCTGTTATGCGTTAACCTATACTATAACTACTACTAAAGCGGCAGCTTTTTCTATTCATATGAAATTATCTTCACAAGAAAACTTCTGAGCCTTTTAAACTTTTGTCTACCGTCATCGGTCAATTAGTAATTAATTAGTAAAATGAGTTAAGTTCACTTAAATATTGGAGAAATTATGTTTGATGAATCACTGAAGAAAATACTGCAAAAGTGCATATTTCTTTGAATAAATCAGTTCCAAAGAACGTGAACGTTCTGTTGTTTATGTAGAATGCTAAAGTTACACGGAAAGAGAGTTTTGCGCGTGACTACCCCAAAGAAGACGAAGAAGCAAATCTCGAACGCCTCACTGTTGGTGCAAGTGAGTGTCGGGAGAAAACGTGTTATTTTTTTGAATAAAAAGGCAGCAAATCGACGTCTGGAATGGTCAGGAGCCTCTGAGGCCGAAATGATTGTAGGGTTGCGATTTTGATCAGTTTCTTAAGGTTTAAAGCAAGGTTTCCTGTTGTCTGAGCCGAATGGTGAATGCGCCCCTTTAATTTAAGTACGGAAAATGTGGGGATTTTATCGGAGTGAGGTTTTTATTTAAATATTGCGGATTTAAATGGTTTTGCGGGTGAATTTCCTCACGAAAAACATGCAATTTCCCTTTTGTCCCCAAAAAAGAGGCCAATAAAATTCCAATTTTGACTCCAAGTTTACTGTGCACTTTATTAATGAATGTTCATTGATATTTCGTAAAAAAGCGTTTAAAAAAGTTACGTTTAATGTTTAATAAATGCATGACAGTTATTTAAATTTAAATCACACAGCCTAGATGGCGCCGATGCTCCGGCTAATCGGAATCGTTTGTCATTTGTTTTCGGTTGAGCAACGGGAGTCAGTTTTGGTGCAAGTGAGTGTGTTTTTTCGGGGAAAACCCTGTTTTTTTTTGCATAAATGGAGACTGTGAATTAGAGCCTGGAAGGAGCGTCCGGTATCTTAATTAATGGGTAAGTGACGTTTTTTGGCGATTATTGCCGTTTTTGAGCAAATTTTCGTGAGGCCTTGCGTGCGTGTCTGCGAGTAGAACACGCGCAGGTGAAATTGGGGTCCTCAATCCCACTTCCAGTTGACCAAGACCGGACCAATCTATTAAAACCAGTTTGGGGCTCCAGTTGCAAAAAAAACGCGAAAAAAACGGTCCTTCTGACGTTTGCCTTTTGGTGGTTGACAGCAACTTCCGTAACACGCAGTAGAGGAGAAGCGGGTAATTGAGAACAACGATTCAAAATACTAGTGTAGACCGCAGACTTCTGTATTCGCTCGGTTCTCAGTCCAAGTACTTCAGGGAAAAAACAATACATTTTTGATGTTAAACTCTAAAATCAAGAAACACTTCTCATTAAATTAAAAACTATTCATAAATTACTTTAATATACATTCATTGCATAAACTTAATCTGGAACAGAAAATTCTTGAGAAGCAGTTTAATTGTCTTCGAACGGTGGCGGCAGCTTCATGCCCACTTCGTGTCTTAGCTTGTCCATCCAGGCGGCCAGCTGGATGGTTTCCGCATGTGGAACGACGTCGCTTTCCAGCTTACCTTCCAGTATGCACTTTCGCACCTCTATTGCCTGATAGGCCAGTCCGGCCGAGTTGTAGTAGTTGAATTTGCCCTCATTTGGGATCAGCGGGAACTCCTTTACCTTACTATTCAGCGTTAAGGTGAGTGGCGACCAGAAGGTGGGCAGTTTGATGGTTCCTTTAGAGCCAACGATAACCGCTGGAAATGGTAAATACTATTAAATACGCATGTCAACTTGAAAAAATAACTTGGTTCCAGCTACCAAATAAAAAGTTTTGGTAGTTTTTGTACTAAGATACGCAAGAAATCGTCACTTGCCCAAAGCGGCTGAACTCGGTTAGTTGATCAAAACATGAGTTTTACACAGGAATCAATTCACAGCACATTTTTACTTAATAAAGCTTATACTGATCGTCTTATTTTCAGTCAAAGAATGTCGCAATGCCAGTTTGATAACGTGTCTCGATTGGTCCTACTTTGTGTGTACTTTTATGAATTAGCATGATATAAATCAAAGTAGCTTCCAAACAAATTGGCATTTATGAGTGACTAGCTTTGCCTATAAGCATCAATTCACCTTCATTGGGCAGATCCACTGTGGTATTGCAGCTGACCACCGCCGTCTTGTTGTCTGGATAAACGAAAATAGCTGATACAGCGTCGTCCACCCCATGTTCGTCCAGATGCCCGGCCACTGCAATTTTTTCGGGTTGAAGCCCCTGGAAGACAAACTGCTGGAACTGCAATATATAAACGCCGATGTCCAGGGTGGCGCTTCCGCCCAGGTCCTTGTTGGTAACTCGCTCCACTTTGTCGATTTTCACTCCAAAAGCTACTGAGGCGTACTTGACGTCTCCAATCTCCCCAGCTTTGATCAGTCGGCGCGCCTCCTGATAGGAGGGGAAGAACCTCGACCAAATCGCCTCCATGATGAAGAGTTTTTTCCTGCGAGCCACTTCGATCACTTGGCGCGCCAGCTTTTCGTTCAGAGTGAACGGCTTTTCGCATAGTACGTGTTTCCCGTTTTCCAGCATCAAAATCGCCACTTCGTGGTGTTGCGGGTTCAGGACTCCGATGTAAACCACTTGAACATTCGGGTCTTTCGCTAGGTTTGCGTAGCCTTCGTGAAAGGTGGGGATGTTGTGGGTTTTGGCGAACTTTTCCGCACTGAAACAACAGAAAAAACAGTCAGTTTTTGCTTGCAAAAAAAAGCAAGTCCAATACTGTGGGAACACCCGAAGTTATCCAAACCACACAGTTGTTCGAGTGTATAGGTTATTTTTTCCCAGTATGAGTTGTAAAAAACGGATATGACCCCATTTTCAGGTGCCTTTGCCAGATAATGTGTACGTTTAATAAGACGAAAGACTCACCTGCTTGAAGATCGGGCTGCTACAGCTACGACCTGGTGCTCTTCCTTCGGCAGCCCCTTCAAGGCAGTGACGAAATCATTAGCAATTAAGCCAGAAGAAGCAATTCCCCAACGCAACGCCATTTTTCAACTGAAACTTAAAAAAATGTCTTCACTTGCCGGTCTCTGGTTTTACTGCCAGTGCGCCAGTTATACTTATAGTAAATAAAACGCTTGTTTAAGATAACGATAAGTGAATACACTTCTACCTGACCCTGGCTTCAATGCTTTGCCGAGTCATTCGCGACAATTAAAACTAGATTATCCTTTGAAGTAATGCAATGCGCTGATGGAAGGAGTTTCAGTGGTCGGTCAAGAGCAAGCATATGGGGATGTGAGTGATTTTACACAATAAAGCCTGTGGGTTGCGCAGGTTTTTGTATGAGAAAACTGAAATATTCCGTCTCAAACCGGAAGATGACAAGATTGTTTTTCTCAATTGCCCGCGAGAATTTTTCAATTGGCTGATTATCTGTGGAGTGCGCCGGAAAATGTGTGATGAGTGCAAAAAAACTTATTTGTACAGAGCATTCACAACTGAAGTGTCCTACTTAAGCATCGAAAACAGCTAGAAATGAGGACTTGACTACATTAATTTTTCCATTTGAGCGCTCAAAATTACCGATTTGAACATGTAAAAAAATTCAAAGCTGACACGTCAAATACTTGCTTTAGTTTGTACAAGAAAGGGTCTTCAAGTGTTTTCCTGATTTTTGTGCTTAAGACAGAGACTTGTCTGCTTAAGAATCTTTTTAAGAATGTTTTATGCTGCGCAGGCCCATATTACACATTCAATTCAATGGTGTTTTTTTGCATACTGTCAGTTATCAACAGTTAATTGATGAAAAGTTTAAGAGATCACTCTCTGGTTTATCACTCATCTCGTCCAAATAATAGGAAAAAAAAGTTTTCGCTGAGCATTTATCGGTTAAATTTGGTAAAAGCATGGAATTTGAAAATTAATTTAAAATAGAAATTTTTTTAAATTTGAAAAATAATAGTCATTTGATGTACCTACATACTTGACAATGCTACAGTTTTTTTTTTAACTAGAAGCAAAAGAAAGCATTGAATTTACTGAAAAATAACTTTGACACTTTCAATGTGTAATTTGACTTTGACTTTTTGAGACCTGCCATGTCACAAAAAACTCAATTTGAAGCATGTCAAATGACTTACTCATTTAAAGTGTCAAAGTTATGTTTCAGTCATTTAAATGGCTTTCTTTACTACAATTTTATGAAGACACAATACATTTTCGGTACAACTAACTAATTTAATGTATCAAATAAGTCTATTTGAGAAATCTCAAAGCAATCTGTCAAAACTTACACTTTTTTGCTGCTTATTTTAAAAAAAGCGTTAATGCTACTCCAAATCATGCATTAACATGTCTCATATAAGTCAATTTGAAACCTGTGAAAGTTAAGTTCCGGACTAAATGTGTCAAAGTTATCCTTTAAAGTCAATTAAATGCCTTTCTTCTGACTGAATGGACAACAATTTGCAGAACATAATTTTGTTCTAATAATAACGAATTTCGCAGATTTTGAAGAATTAACAAATTTGTCCAAGAAAAGCCGGACAGAAGACACAAGACAATAAGTACACGAATTTACTCTTCAATTATTCCTCATATTGATGATTCCTGTTTTTTGAGTACCTTCAACATTAGTCTCGCTTACATTGTGACTATAAAGGGTATTTCATTTCGGCAACCATCAACTTACTGAATTTTTTAATTTTTTTAAAACCTTGTGTTAAAGCGTGTAAAAACAGGTGACATCTAGAGCGATGGGCCTTGAAAATATATTTCCAAAAAACGACAATTCTTCAGGAATTAGACCTGATACCAAAAGTTCGCCAGGAACACTGCATAAAGAGGGCCTGAAGCCAACTAAATATTGCAATTTTCATCATAAAAATGGATCATTTATGGCCGCAGGGAGCGATTCGGTAGCCTCAATGTAATCATATACGAAGAAAAAAGTGACCAGCGGTTAGAAACGGAGTGCGATAACGGAACTCATGCAAAGAAAAACGAAAGCGAAAAGAGTCAACGACATCGCCATAGACGGAGGGCCGGATGAATGAGGAGGGTGCGCACCACTTCCAGAAAGCGTGGCGCTCTTTTATTGCTTTTCCAGGTCGAGAAACAGGGCAGGAATAGTCCCCGTCTCGTCAGTGGTCGACTTTCTGTGGCCAGAATGTGGAAATTTGGGACGTAATAGAGAGTCAGCCTCTGCGTTTAAAGATAGATGGATTGGGGGATAAGCTTCTCAAAACTCCACTGACAACGGCAATAAATTTCGGCGTTTCCATAACTTCGGTCTTTTTAAATACATCTTAGCGTGGGAGAGTTTTTGACTTCCAGCCTGCTTAAAGTTACAGTGATTAGAGGTGGAAATGGACGGAATCTCACTTAGGGTTTTTGGAAGGGAATTAGGAACTTTTGGGCATACCAAAAATAATGAAAAGCGTAAACATCTTTCATTATTAACCGAGGGACGTTTATTATTATTATTGACCTAAGGAGAGAATTATGACTTCTCACTTGGGAAATGGAGTAAATAATCACTTCTCAGGCTAGCAGTAGTAGCAACACCTCTATGTTTCATAAAGGGTGAGACCAAAGTTGAACTTTCTCAAAAAAAAAACATTATCTTAATAATTGAGTAGTCAACCGCTTATAGGAATAAATATGAAAATAATCGGCGTCTTGTGTGTATTCGACTCCACTTGATAGTCCTTCCGACCCTCCTGAATCCCGTTCGAAAGACCAGAATTATGTTATGTGAATCTTTCTCGCCTTGACAGTTTTTAGCGCCGGCTAAAACGATGTCAAGTGAAACATCTAACAGTAAGTAACTTAAAGTTTTCCGCGCTCCTGGCAGTAGGCCTGGGTAACTCAGTGAATTATAGGAGTTGGCGCAGTGCTGCGCAAATGGATTTGGTGTGTCAACTCAAAGCACTAGCTCAGTCACGCAGTTCGGTTGCTGAAAAAACGTTACTCATAAAAAATGTTGACGACTTTTTTTTAGATGTTGAAATTGCAGTCTCGGGTCTCGTAAAGTTTTAAGAAATGGGTTATGCCTCATTAACAACTGGCAACAACTCAAAAGCGCAACTCAACACAGTGTTACCCAGGTTGACCAGGTTTATTTATTCGTATTAAAAACCAGCGGCCTTTTTGTTTATTAAGCAATTTCTATCTTCTATTACTTTTGGGTGATAGCGTGTTGTTTTCTTAAGTGGCGGGACCTAAGCAGTTAAGCCTGTTTCTTCTCCATAAAAATTGACGAATAAAGAACATTCCTATTGGATATTTCGCTTGTTTTTTTGCACCCTTTTTTTCCCAAGTCCCTACACATTGCGCGCTTTTTCGCGGGAAAAAGCGTTCAAAAATTATCCCAAAAGCTTAAAGAAAAGCCACAAGGTTTCACACCAATTTCACCACAATTCAGTGGTTTAATGGCTTTTGCAGTACAGACGCAGTAGGAGCAAAAAGTTGAAAACACTTTGTTCAAGTTGTAGGTGACAATTGGGCGCTCTCTATAGTGAATATATACCACCAATTATCGAAAGCAGCGCCCTCTGTAGTCGGTAATAGGTCGAACTAAAAATCGACAAAAGCGCCCGTTGAAGTGAATAGGTCGAATTAAAATTGACAAAAACGCCCTCTATATTATATAGGTCGAACTGAAATCGACAAAAGCGACCTCTGAAGTGAATACGTCGAACTAAAAAAATCGACAAAGGCGCTCTCTGAAGTGAATAAGCCGAACTATAATCGTCAAGAGAGCCCTCTGAAGTGAATGAGTCGAATTAAAATGGGCGCTTTATCGACACTAGAGGGCCACACCGATTTTAGTTCGACTTATTCACTTCAGAGGGCGCGTTTGTCGAGTTTAGTTCGACCTATTCACTTCAGAGGGCGCATTTGTCGATTTTAATTTGATTAATACATTTCAGAGGGCGCTTTTGTCTATTTTAGTTTGACCTATTCACTTCAGAGGGCGTTTTTGTCTATTTTAATTCGATTTAAACACTTCAGAGGGCGCTTTTGCCGATTTTAGTTCGACCTATCCACATCAGAGGGCGCTTTTCTTGATTTTACTTCGACCTATTCACTTCAGAGGTCGCTTTTGTCGATTTTAGTTCGACCTATCCACATCAGAGGGCGCTTTTCTTGATTTTACTTCGACCTATTCACTTCAGAGGGCGCTTTTGTCGATTTTAGTTCGACTTATTCATATCAGCGGGCGCACCAATCGCCGTTTACTGTTTTCTTCAGGGATTTTAAATGAAATATATACACTTTAACATTTATATTATTCATTGCATTTATACATTTCGTTCCAGAAGAACAGGTCATATAAATTTAGTTTAAATGTTATTATTTTTGAAGCACAGTTTCAATCATTGAAGAATTGCTAGGGACAATCGGAATTTAAAAAATATATATTCAATAAATCAAAAATTTTTCAGCTTTTTGAGAACAATCTTCAACTAAAGTTGAACTTCTGGAGCAACTAAGCGTTATTCATATTGAGTAATAATGAAATAAAAAACCAGGATTTATAGCAGCAGTCTATCAACTTTACAATGGTAAATAATTTTTTATTCTGCTGCTGTAAACGCTGGCTGAGTTTTCATTTAGTGGATAAATAATCTATTGATTGACATTTAACCACCTATTTTTTTGTGAGAACATTGAAAGTATAAATGTGTTAACCACTCAGTCGCAGTTTCCGAAAGAACTTAAATGGCGATTTATTGAAGAATCCCCAAAACCACTGTTTGTCCAAAACATTATACAACGTTTTTACTATTGTATGAAAGTGAGTTAAAACGATTAACTACATAATCATGTAGTTAATTGTTATTAATTAATTATACAATTTTTTTTGTATTAATCAATACAAAAGTGATTAGTTCAAAGAGATAACTAAAATTGAAAAAAGTACATACTGAAAATAAGATAATAAAAGAATTAAAAATCCTTTTAAATGAGTCGCCACGTCATTCAGCGTATAGGGAGCCAATGGGCAAAGGGTTCAATGAGACTTAATTATTAGTTGGTTAAATAAGATTCAACGTTCTCACTATATCTGTAGACAATACTAATAGTAATACTTAAAATAGCAGCACTTTTGCCTTATTAACAGTAAATTTGCAAAGTTTCTATTTGCCAAAGTTGCATTGGGAAAAGCCACAAAAATTCCCAGTTTCATTTTAAGGAGTTCGCGCAGTTCCGTTGCTGTAAAAATGTTACTTATTAAAATGAGGTACCCTTTTTTTCCTTTAGTTATTTGGACAAGGACAAAGTGGTTAATTCGCTTTAATAAATGAGTTATAACTCATTAACCGATGAGTTATAACTTATTAAATCAGAGAGCGGCATCAACTCACTCGCGCAACTCAACACAGTGTTACCCAGGCCTACTAGCAGGCAGCATCTTTAGTGTTGTGTTGCCTGAAGCGAACACAAATATCTTCTGTACAAAATGTATTCAGACTAGGAGCAAAAATCACGTCCTACTGACGCTCTAGCGCACCAATATATCCCGTGTTTGATCTGAGGTCTTCTATGACTTCTATTTCCCACAGAATTGCGGAAAAATAACGTGCTGCTGCCGCAGGCGAATGGCGGCCAACAACGAAACAGCAGGAGATTCAGAGGCGGCAGAAACGCAAACGGCCTTACAAACGCGCTCCGCTTTAGTCTCTCGCCGACTTTTGCTCGTTCCTGCTACGCAGTGCAGATTGATTGACGCTCCCGATTTACCCCGTCCGAGCCATGTAGCCTGTGCAACAGGAACTTAATGGTGTGGCAATCGCACGTTAGTGGCAATTTGGGCCCAAAAATGATGTGATCGGCAGCGTGAAAGTGTTGCGAAAATGACCCAGCAGCAGGACAGCTCGCCCGACCTCTCGCTGAAGCTCAGAAGGGGCTCAAGCGACTCCCGAGACTCGTTTTATATGGATTTCGATCGCGGCATCGACTCGGACATTGAGGAAATAGCAACAACGTCGGGGGCGGATTTCGGGGGAGACACAACTGGTGAAATAACGGCCGCCCCCAGCGCTCTGGGCATGAAGGCCGAAGGGGTCAGGTGAGTCCGCATTTTCAGCGCGAAAAGCCAATATTTCAATCATACAATCAGACAGCCAGAGTTAAACGTCCTGTCCAGATTGCGCTTATTGGCTTAACAACGTAATTGCCGTATCATTTGCTCATTTGCATCCCGTTAGTTGAGCGTCTCTTGCCTACTCAAAGTGCTAAAGCACAATCTATTAAATTTTTAAATTAATTAAATTATTAAAAATTTGCAAAAATGAACAGGTTTGTACTTAGGGTGGAAACATTCCATTCAATCGCCAGATGGCACTTTTCTAAACCTTAACTTGTTGCTAAATGTGGTTGTTTCCAGTTGGCCGACGATCCCCCAGCAAAACGTGAGCGGCGGCAGTCGCAGCAGCGCAGCCCTGGGGGGATGCGACCCCCTTTTGCCGTCGCCCGCTTCCCCCCATGCGGTCATTGTTTCGCCAGAAACTCTCACCAATTCGTCCCCCTCCAAGTCCACTGCCAAGCACGTGATTGGCGGACACACTGTCCACATCCAGACCCACAAGTACGTAATGAGAAGACAGTGACGCCCACTGTCTTCAATTCTGACTTCTTTGTAAATTTTATTCGCCAACATTCTCCAAAGACAAAAATCTGGAGGTGACTCAAACCTTATCAAACCAAAAGACAACTATCCTATAAAAGTGTCGAAAATGGCTCGCTCCTACATTTGCTTTATCCAGATATTATCCGCTTTCTAATAATTTTTGTTACTGTTTTTTCTGTACTCCTAAAACACCCCCAGGGGAATGACGCCAATTTCGATTCACGCTGTATATTCGTCAAGTAATCAAACACCTTTGATATGAATCTTTTTCTCCCGAGAAAGGCGCCTCATTCTTCACGTAATGAGGATGAATACACTAATTCTTTTAGTTCTCACGCCCCATCACATTTACTTCAATGAATCGTTACTTGCGTAAACAGGGCTGCGTCGTCCGCACCGCTAACACACTCCAACTACTACTACCACCACCACCACCATCAGCAGCACTTTCCAGTTGTGAGGAGGCTGAGTAGGGCGGAAAAGCAGGTGGAGTGGAGGCAGTTGGGGGCGTGAGTATTTCCCGTTGTCGACTTGGTCCTAATCTACATCCAGTACATTTAAATTTAAAGGGACGCCCTGTCCACAACCCTTTCGGCGCTTTACGGCAAACTGCTGGTGGTGATGGGCACGGCCTTTCCAATGGCAGAAGTCATTTCAACATACATCCCGCCGTCCTTCTACGAGGCCTACTATTTGTACCTGTATATTGGAAGCATGTTTTTCCTGCTCTACCTCTATATGGTGCTGCTCAGAGACAAGCGCCAGATGAAGAAAAGGGACCGGAAAGCGAACAGTGAGTTTTTCAGTGTTTTCCTGCCGGCCGAAATTAGACAAAGGCCGCCTTTGTACTATTCGATTACATTTCGGAACGGGGGTGCAGGACATTAATGGATTTATTGATTGGACTTGTGACCCCCTTTGTGACACGAAACCTTTTGTATTCAATGGAATGCCTATAGGCCGATAAAAGTTGCATCTACAGGGTGATTGAATTGGTCGATTTGGTTACTTCGAAGGCGTCATTTGGTCTAGAGGAACCATCGTTTCTAAACACCTCCCAGGATACAGAATTTCACTCGATATTTATACGATAAAACCACATACAGTGAGTCCCAGAGTAAATTAATTAAAAATTTATCGGACAGTGTCTTGGAAAAAGCTCGGAACCGTTTATTTTTGTTTGTAATTGCAACTTTTGGTGGTTCAAAAACAAGTTACAACCATCAACTTATTTTTTCCAATGGTTACCAAGAAATTTACGATTCAAATTTCTGAAGTTTTGTACATTTTTTGATCATTTTGTAATGAAACTCTCAAACTCCTCTCAACTCCATTTACCAAATGGTGCATTTTTTCTCCGGGTTCATGGGGCTATTTTTCGGGCAGTGAAACTCCCTGGCAAAGTCCTCCGAGTTGCTGAGCACTCCAATGATCCGAAAAATCCCGGGCGAGTGAACGGACGTTTTCAAGCGGTATTTCGCCTCCTCAATGCGCTGCTGGCCGCACCACACTTGAGCAAAGTTGAGGAAGAACAGTTGTTTTCCCGTTAGGTTCAAACCTGCCGAACCGAAATCTGACACAGTCGAATAAAAGGCGGTGGCAATTCTTCACCTGGGAGGCTCTCATCGGCCCCAGGATGTCTGGAAAGCCACTCTTGGTAGGCTCTAAAGGACTGCTTAATGCCACCATTGTCAGCGATGTTTTCCCCTTGCGTTAAGTACCCATCGATTGGCATTTTTATCTGCGGCAGCACGTACTGGCTGAAACCGCCCAGTATTTTCAGTCCGACCACCTCCAACCACATATACAGGGTGGGCCAACGAAAAGGTTTAGAAATCTACCAGAAGAGTCATAAATAGGGGTGCGACCTTTCCGTTGACCCACCGTGCAGAGAGTGCTGGAAATGGCTAGAGGATTACTGTCTCTCACAACAATGCTGCGAATTTCAAGCCACCCTGTTTACCTATATTGGTCTATTATGCACTGGGCCTTTTCGTAAAAATTCCTGATCGAGGCGTCCCTCCACCACATCATCAGATTTCCCTGTTGGTCGAAGAGGCGTCCTTGGAGAAACCAAATCTCAATTTTTCTGTTCGTAAGCTCGAACACCTCAAGCACACTTATCACTTATTATCCTGTTACCTTTGTCGTCAAAGCCATGGGTGATTTCATGCCCGATCGCCACTCCAATGCCTCCAAAGTTCATCGCCTTGGGGAAGTGCTTGTGATAGAAAGGGGGCTGCAGGATGCCTAACCAAGCCACACGTTTGGAGTTCACCCTTAGTCCCTCCCAAGCCGTTTTACCTGCCGGGAACATGATCTGGTTCTTGTTCCGGCTGTAGTAGGCGTTGACCACTGCAGGCGACGTGCTCCACAAGGTCCGGTTCACCTCAGACCTCAGCCGCTTCTGCTCAGATCTGCTCATGTGGCGCAGAATGCTCAGCACGTTCTCGAAAAAGTACTCTGGATGTATATCAACATCGTAGTAGCGCATGCTTAGCTCTACAACAAGCCCCGTATCCAAAACAGATATGGTCATATTTTCTTGATATTCTACTACTTTTGGGTAGGCAGAATAGATCTTTACCAGTAGTGTTCAGGACAAAGTCTGGAAACCCAATCTTCAGGTCCATACTGTCGATTTTCATGCGAGCATAGCTCTTGGTGTGATCATCCAGCCAGGTGCTTTCCTCTAGGATGTTCTTGAAGGCGCCCACCAGCGCTTGCGTCATCTGGATCGTGTCCTTTTTGCTGGTCTCATCAAAGTAGCGACGCACGAAAAGCGCCCCAATTGCCATGCCCATATGGGTGTTCACCTGCGAGACGCAGAACTGCCAACGCGGCGGCTGTTTCTCCCTTCCAAATAGCACGAAGTTGAAGCGCTGCTTCACATCCAGGAAACGGGAATCTGGAATTCTATTCGCTGCTTTTTTCTGCCTGCCGGTCAGCCCTAGCTTAGGAGCTACCTAGGTTGATAAGGCGATGGTGCACAAAGCGCCAGATCAAGTAGTTCTGGATGGTTCGGTACTCTGAGTTGCTCAGCACGTGAACCAGTTCCAGAAGGTACTTGACGCTATAGACAGCCACTGGGGTGCGCAGGCTGACTTCAGGTCCTGCAGATCTAAATATTAGGGGTCTTGGCACATTAGAGCCTCCAGCAGACCTAGAACTAGATCGAAGTAGGTCTTCCAGTCGTACTGGGGAAAGTAGAGCGACATCGAGGCCAGATCGGTCTTGAGATAAACGTCGGAAATGTTGCGTCTCTCCTCGCCTGAGGCCATTATTTCGGCCAATGAGGTTTCAAGCTCCACAAGGTCGTCCACCTGCTGCTCCACTGTTTGAGGACACGCCCCCAGCAACAGAGCGCTGGCTAAATTGCCGAATAATACCCAACTAATTTTTACTCGAATTGAGAAGAAGAGCCTTCAAGCAATCGTGCCTTGGAACCCTCACGATTTTGTTTTCCCTACTGAAAAACTTGGGCTCACCCATGATCAGTATCTTGTAGGCCCGAACGTATTTGATATTCTTCGGGTCCAGAAAATAGTCCCTGCTGGGTAACCCCAGACTTGTCTGATCCACATGTACCACGTATTGGTTGGCGTTCTTCATATCAGGCCCCACCCACTGGGAGATTAGCACGTCATTGTTCAGCAGCCTCAACCTGCAAGGCAATGAGCTTTCAGTCCAGTTCTCACTCATAAAATTCAGTCCTTCCTTGCCAGGAGCACAAACAAGTCCTCCCTATTCCCGGCCCACACTTGGGAAACAATCGGCCATCCTCCCAAGTACTGCAAAACATCAGCCAGCGGCTGATTGGCCCTTTTGGAAATGCTCAACTCGTCCATGCAGGATTGGTAGAAGAGTTTCGCCTTCACAGTGGCGTCCAAGGTGTTGTTGTTCAGCTGCCCCGCTTCGAATAGATGCTCCAAGCGGGGTCTTTCCAGTGTTGGAACCCCTGCGGGTGCCTCCTTGAGGATGTCATTCAGCACCAAGTCCAGGTTTTCGCGAATTATCTCAAAGGTGTCGTAGGAGGAGCGATCGGGAGGTATTTTAAAGTAGTTCTTCCAGTTGCCGCACGCGTAGCTGTAGAAGTCGCTGCAAGGGTCACTTTGCTTGTCCATGTACCTCCGCATGATGCTGCCTGAGGATGGCAAGTTTGAGGGGGCAAAGTCACAAAGGGATATCTTACTTTGCAAATTCCTAATTTCCTCCTTGCTCATTTGGTTGTGCCAGAAACTCTGCTGCTTTTTCAAAAGGCATCTCCCTTCAGAGTCGCTCAATTGTTGCAGACGCGAAATGTTCACCTGAACGCGCAGCACTGATCTGTCCTCCTGCTCCCCATTTCTCTCATTGCTTGCATTACTAATCTCCGGCCAGCTGTTGGGCACAATGCCCAAACCCGTCAAATTCACGTGTTCTTCATCCAGAATCCTGAAGTCACCACTATCGAAAACGGGCTGCTCTTGCCGCTTGCACCGCTCAGTATTTTCAAGGTCTTCAAGCTCGGGCCAAAAAACCGACTTGGTGTCCCTCACAATGCTCCTACGGTCCTCATGATGTAAAATTTCTGAATATTCGTATTGGCTCAGCTCCAAACAGAAGGAGCGAATCAGTTGTAGTACAAAGACCGGCAAAAACTTCATTGCGTTTGACTTGGCGTGACATTGACTGCTATTTTCCAGAGTCCCAAGCAAGCAAAGATGAGGTGATTTCCGATGAGGAGTCGGACGACGACTCAAACAGCACGAGTGTGTCCAGTTCGGAGGCTCCAAAGTATCGACCAAGAGTGGCTTCGCTATCGATGGGCAAACAGAACCACTACGGGAGTTTCTACTTGAGAATGGGCGCAGTTGGTGAGTACGAGGATGTTCGAATATACAGGGTGTTTAGTAAGAAGATGCAGTTCTTGCAGAGTGTGATAGCGTAAGTAATTTTGGATATTCGTTAATAGGCCATGTTCCGAAAACCCTTAGTTTCCGATCTACAGGGTGTTCAAGTTTTAATAAAAAAATGTTGTTTGCTAATATTGCAGAAACCGCTTGGAATAGTTTAATGAAATTTTACAGGCTTAGGCATTTAATAGCAATACATGATTTGTGATAAAAATGTTGATTCTAGCTTTTCTAGTCGTGTGGGTACAGGCACCAAGTAAGTCATTAAGGACATTTATCCAAAATTACTTGCACCATCACATCCTGCAAGGAATGCATCTACTTACCAAACACCCTATATACTAGGTGTTGTTTAATAAGTGTGTTAAACATTTCTAAGACGTGATAAGCTTTGGTTGAGTAAGGGTTCTTAGGTCAAAGTGAATACGCAAACTGAAAACATCATTACACCGAATACATGTTTGAAAATCGGTAAAACTCCGATATTTACTGAGTTAGACATTTGAAATTTTATAGTATTTTCATTTTCCATTTGTCGCTTTAGACAGGGTGGTGCAAGGAAGAGGGGCTGGAAGATTATGGCTAACTGGTGTGTAATTATAAAACATTTTTTATGCGATATTGGCCCAAGAAATAGCGAAAAGCGCATTTCGCCAACGTATTTCCAAATACAAAGTGTCCCGTAAGCACATGATCAAAAGAGTACTGCGATATTCTTTGGATCAAAAGAAGACTATCTGACCTAACTTTTATTAAGAAACAATGTCTGGCTCCTCTGCTATTGATTGTCAAAGTTCTTCAAAAAATTTATCTTTTTCGAAATATCGGGAGAATGGTACGATGTATTTTAGTGAAACTCGCTGTGAATTTGTTCTTATGTAAGACTCATATTTTGATGAAATAATCGAGTTCAGCCGCTTTGGACAAGTGGTGAATTCTTGAGTGTCGTGGTATAAAAACAACCAGAACTTTTTATTTGGTGGATGGAATCTACTCATATTTTTTTGGTTGATACACTAACCATTTGATCACAATTTTGTGTTCTTTGTAAAATCTTGTTCATAGGTTTTGCGCAAAAAATATGTCTGTTTTCTTGCCACCAACAATGTGAGACATTAACTGCAAATATGCACCGCGTAATCGCGTACGCTTTTACGCAAGTTGTCTTCTCAAAACCCTACCTTCTTCATTAGAAAAAGTTATTCGAAACGAATTTGTGAGATTGATTGACAATAAATGTATGCCTCGTATCACGATATTTGCAGTTAATGTCTAACATTGTTAAATGGCAAGAAAACAGAAATGTTTTTTTCGCAAAAACTGTGAATGCTACAAGATTTGACAAAGAGCACAAAATTCTGAATAAATGATTAATTAGCGCATCAAAAAAAGACTTGATTTCATCCACCAAATAAAAAGTTCTGGTAGTTTTTGTACCACGACACTCAATAATTCACCACTTGTCCAAAGCGGCTGAACTCGATTATTTCATCAAAATATGAGTCTTACATAAGAACAAATTCACAGCGAGTTCCAAAAATTTCCTAAGTTCCTAAAAGTTCCTAAAATACATCGTACCAGTCTCCAGCTATTTCAAAAAAAGATATTTTCTTTAGAAAAACTTTGACCATCAATAGCAGAGGAGCCAGAATACTTTTTGTTAAAAAAAGTTAGGTCAGGTCCTCTTCTTTTGATGCAAAGAATATCGCAGTATCCTTTTGATCATGTGCTTACGGGACACCCTGTATACCCATACAAAAATACTTAATGTGGACACCCGCTCATATAACTTTAAATGAAACTTCCTGTATTTTGCAGTCGAAGTGGATTATCTGGGAATAGTAGATACCATTACTAACAAACCGAAACTCAATGCAGGCAAGTTTAATTGTTTCTGTAATTTTGAAATGCGATTAAACGAAAAAACGAATAATGAGCAACAAAGTAGTACCTAATGAAAAGAGAATTGAACGCCCTTTAAAACGATGTGCCACTTGACCCCCCTTCCCATTTAATATTCTAAGGGTGACATCTACCCGTCCTAGGGGGTTGAAATAAGGAGGCTAAAAATATTCATTTGAAGTTTTCCCATTACAAATAAAATTGACGGGTCTTTTCGATTTCTCATATTTTCAACTGCAAGAAAGATATTAAGGGCGGGAAGTTTTCAAATTGACACCCGGTATGCTGCTTGTCTTGCTACAAAAAAATGCACAGCTCCTCACCCTGTATAAACTTTTGTGGCACCTCAAATGCTAGCTATTTTTAACATCTATTTATTGCCGTTTTGATCTCTCAAGTTGGTTGGCGGTTAGTTAAAAGTGATACAAATGAACTAAGATCTCCTGTAAAACAAACCTCTAAGCACGCCCTTAAAACATCTGCACATTATTATAAAACATCCGATATAACCCGACTCTGCCTCTGGCAGCCTTCGGAATAGGCAGCATGATCTACTCAGGACTGGAGTTCGGCCAGTACTTTGAGCTAGAACGGAACACCAAATGCCACAACGTCCTACTGGCGCTCACTCCAGCCACCAGAATGGCGTTCATCTTCATCCAGATGTACTTCATTTTCCTCAACAGCGAAGTAAGAGAGCAAAATCGTAGAACTTGTCAGGTAACCAGGAGAACTATTCTGTTTCAGCAAATGCGGGTTTACAAGCATAAAGTGGCTGCGCGTTTCGGCCTGATGCATATGATCGGCACAAATCTGTCCGTCTGGCTTAACGTTCTAGTGCAGGAGACCAAGCATGAAATCCTTACCTTTTATAATCCGGAGAATAATTCCTTGAGAATATCCCACAGGATACCGTACAAGGGCAACGTGCTCGGGTAAGTAGGCTGAAATAGTATCCGGTTAATCAGGCGCAAGATTGCGGTTCTAGCCTTTCATCAGCTGTATTGGATTTCGTTTCTAATCGTTGCTCTAAAATTGGCTAATCATCGCTATCAGGATTTTTGTCCATTACAAAATAGTTTTTTGGCAATCAATTTAAAGAGGTTGGAACATTCTGTAGATTAGAGCACAAAACATTTCTTTGGCGTATTTGCTCTGGACTCTTCGTACGGTTTGCTCAGCGATGCAACCAGCTTTGAAGATGCAAGACTTTGCCTTTTGTTGATAACAAATAGCATGCTTATCGCTCAGGTTGCCGTCAGTAACAGCGGACCATCCGTTGGCCGCGCATGGTCACCACATAGTGGCGAGAGGCCTCAAAGGCCCCCACCACCTCTACGAGTGCAGACGGACCAACATAATCGGCTCATTGGTCCAGGACGCGTCCCCCTTCCTATTCCCCTGCACGATTGAGTATAGCCTGATCTGCGCAGCCATCCTCTATGTGATGTGGCGCAGCATCTCCAAGCTACCGACCAGCAGCAATCACACTGCGAGGACCAAATCTGAGATGAGCGCCTTCAAGAAGAGCCCCCACCATTATTCAGTAGATTGCGCTCGCGCCCACAAAGGCCTCTTTCTCGGCATTTTGTTCCTGGTGCTCACCATCATCTCGCTTATTCTGTTCTTCGTTCTGATCTCCCGTTCGGAGTTCGTGGGCTTGGCGGTGATCGAGGTGAACATTTGCGAGCTGATTCTGTACACCATGACCACGCTGGCTGCAGGAATCGGCATGTGGCAGGTGCGCCAATTGAAATATGACGGCTCAAAGAACCTGCAGCTGGATAACATCCTGCTGGTGGGCGCTCAGACTGGAATGTACATCTACAGCACTTTTACCATCATCGGAGGCCAGTTCACTATTCAGAAGAACACGGTGCTGGTGCTGGTAACAGCAGTTGCTTCGCTACTGCAAACTACCTGCCAGACGATCTTCATTCTGGACGCCTCCAGGCGCACCTGCTCGACTCCGGACCAGATCCGGAAGAAACCCGGCCGGGAAATCGTCACTTTCCTCCTAGTGACCAATCTGGCCATGTGGGCGATCAACACGTTGGAAAAGTCCCGGGCCGAGTCCCATCCGATCCAGCTACATTTCTACGGACTGTGGGCATGGACTATTATCACGCACGTCTCCATGCCTCTGGCGATTTTTTATCGTTTTCATTCTACTGTTTGCCTTTGTGAAGTGTGGAAACGCGCCTACAAAATGAAACCCACCTACATGTAGTCCAAGGTAGGCGTTTCGCCGCTCAACTTCAACAGTACAACTATCGTCCGCGTCAACCTCAACATATGAAATTTGCATATTATCTATTGTACAATTATTGATTCGGGATCAGCAATAACAACCGTTTAGGGACCGATATTTTTGCATTTTTATACGTTTTATAATCGCGTAGGGTAGCCGTCTATATTCAAAATGGGTGATTGTATTGATGCTGAGTAATGGAAAATGTTCTCATTGTTACAACTTTTTTCTGTATCTTGGACTTGCACCTTCATCTAGCGATTAGTTTACTTTAGCGTAAAGCCATACATTATTACATATGTGGTTGGTTACGTATGTGGTACTAAATGTTGTACAATTATGATAGGGAGGTGTTTTTGAGACCGAAATAACCCGAGTTTTTTCGTATAAGCATGAGTCCGACTTAGTATTTTCAAAATTGCATAATTACCGCTAGAGTGCGAAACTGCAACAATAACTCGAGCGCCGATAAACGTTAATTTTTGTCAGTTTTTTTAAGTTAAGGGAGATGGTAAATATGCCCATTATATTTCTGGGCACATTTGACGTGAGTATGGTTGAAGTAGTTTTGCTCTAGCAAGTCAAATTAAGTGTCGGGGGATGGCCCAAGATTGCTTGAAAAAGATACAGATACTCCGGATTAGTAGACCAGGTATACCACATCATTATTCAGTACTAATACAATCACACAAAAGCATTATTATATCAAGTACAATTAAGATAACGTTAAAAATACCTACAATTATTTAAATTCACCTTGGCAATACTTCTAGTGTATGAGTTACAGTCAGTCATTCCACTACTGTTTATTGTCTTACGTTGTTTAGCCCTAAGTCAAACACATCAAGACTTTAACTGACTTAAGGCTGAAAATCCATATAAATTATATTACATTGTTATGTATTGGTATCGAGCTTAGTGTTTGTTGTGTTTGGTTTTATGATATTTTATTGTAATACGCTTAGAATAGTGATAAAATCCTCGGAAGTCTGATAAACTAAGGTCTTGGTTTAGGAACGTTGCCGTTAAAACAATCCCTGATTTAGCTCCCATGTGCCATAATAGTGACAGATTTTATTTGTTGTTGACTAAAAGTAGTTTATTTTAGTTGTCCTCATTCGACTAATGGTGTGTGATCTATAATGTAACCGCAGAAATATACATTGAAACCTTTAAGTTGTCTCAATTTGCCCACAGTTCCCCTAAAAGAAGATGTGAAGATTTATGTGCGTTTTGGGTAGCGCAACTGAAATAGATTGCCATCATATGAAAATCCACTTCTAAAAATAGGAGAAAAACATAGAAATCCATCACATGGGGGGCGGCATTGATCAAAGGAATCAAGTTCTTAAGACTTGGAATCATCTAGGAATAGTAGTAAGGCTTTCAGCACTTGCCCAAGTCTATTTATTGTATGAACACAGTCAGCACTGACGTCAGATTACGTGATGATCACGTCATGTTCTTACACGTGCCATTTTGGTTAATTAAAGTGCTGGTTAGTTAGATAAGAGTTTCTAATTCCTACAGAATAAACGATCTGCAGGATACTTACACAGGAATTGACAAGATTGCAGTTGAGCCTGACATTTGGAAAAAAATCCTTGGACCAAGCAGTGGCTTGCAATTTTGCCTAGCTTTAAACACGGTGGGAAGCTGCAAGTGTCCAAAATCTCGATATAAATGGACCTTCAGAATGCCTTTACAGGAATTACCAAACTTTGAGTTGAGCCTGACCAGAACTTTCAAATTGAGCCATTTTCAAAAAATCCTGACCTCCAATCGAGAGCAACTAGAGACTTGAAATGTTGACTAGTTTGAACCAAAGTCAGTGGTTTTGGCAAGTTTTGGAAAATGCTTCCCCAAAAAATCTGTTCAAGCACAAAAGCACTTGTTAACGCATTCGAAAAAGCGCTCATTTCTTACGAAATTTACGAATGTTTAATCATCTGACTGCGGATTAGGTGCAAGACTCCATTGAAGAGAACCTGTCGAAGTACAAAAACGCTTGTTACGGCATTCGAACGAGCGCCCATTTCTTCAATAAATTTTAAAAATTCAGTTCAATCACGCATTTTTCTTAGATTTTACGAATTTTTAATCATCTGAGTGCGGATTGTGAACCACCCTTCATTGAAGAATGACGTTCAAAAATGCCTTCCCAACAAATATGTCGAAGTACAAAAGCGCTTGTTACGACATTCAAAAGAGCACCCATTTCTTCAATAATTCTCATAAATTCAGTTCAATCACGCATTTTTTCTAAGATTTTACGAATTTTTAATCATCTGAGTGCGGATTGTGAACAACCCTTCATTGATGAATGACGTTCAAAAATGCCTTCCCAAAAAGTCTGTCGAAGTACAAAAGTGCTTGTTACGGCATTCAAAAGAGCGCTCATTTCTTCAATAATTCTCATGAATTCAGTTCAATCACGCATTTTTCTTAGATTTTACGAACTTTTAATCATCTGAGTGTGGATTGTGAATGTCTCTCCATTGAAGAGTGACTTTCAAAAATGCTTTCCTATTAAACCAATGGAAGTAGTAGAAAAGTGTTTGTTACGGAAATTGAATAAAAAATCGCGATTTTTATTTAGATTTGACGAATTTTGAATCATCTGAATGTGATTTGTGAGCGACAATTCGATGCCGAGTCGGTTTCAAAGATGCATCCCTGAAAAAGCTGTTGAGGTCGACGAACGTAAGTAACAGCATTTAAAATAGTGCCTTTTATGCATTTCGTGCCATAAACTCAATTGTTTCACGCTTTGGATTGAGATTTTACCATTTTTTTTATCATCCCAGTGCGCTTTATGAGCAATAATTCGGTGCAGAGTGACTTTGAAAACTGTTTTCCCAAAAAACTGCGCTTGTTTAGGCCTTTGGTAGAGCACCGTTTTCTTCCTAAACTCCCAAAAAATCAATTCGATTGCGCTTTTTATTTAAATTTGAATTTTTATTTAAATCACCTGAGCAGGGTCGGATTAAAGCTTTACGGGGCTCGGGACTAAGAGTTCGCGGGACTTAAACTTCCTAAAAGTTTAATCCCAATCCCATAGTGCTGCAACACCCTGTGAATCATTTTAAGAAAATGTATGGTGTACGTAATGTATGGACGTATTTACACTGTGCATATGGCCGTGACAATCACGTCGATATAACGTGACAAATATAATGACTTTGAGGTCTTTTTCAAAATTCAGTTAAACCGCATGACTTTGAGAACGCTTCTTTTTGAAATAAACCAATAGAGAAACGTTAATTAACCAACTAATAATAGGAGATCTAATCAGTTCGTAATCCAACTTGATCTTTATCAAAACTTCCCTCCATGAGTCAGGTCAGATGAGGATGGAGGGTGCATTTTGTGCAAAATTCGCCACCCTGCAAGAATTCATTTCCAGCGCAGTTCTCAATAAGAAAGCGAGGGTGGATTAATTTGTCGCCCCCTTCAGTCTGGATCCGTTGAAGGGCTGGCGGCCGAAGGCGCACGTGATGTAAACAGAAATTGTTGCGTGAACGCACGCGGCGCTGCCAGATTTTCCTCTTAGTTTAGCAAAAAAACTCTTGAATTAGGTAGCTTTCAGGTGCTTTGGGTACTTTCCGGTAGGCCTGGCTGACACAGTGGATTTTCAGGTGTTGACGCACTAAAACCAATACGGCTTGTAGCGTCAATACAACGCTTTAACGCAATTCATGAAGCAGATAAATGTGTTGAGAGATACCAGAGAACCTTGTGTTACGTGATGTGTGGTGGTTCGTAAGCTGATGCGTCATAAAAGCGGTGCAGCCCGTTAAAATAAACCCAGAAAAATAAGAATTCATCAGAAGTTAAGTATTTTGAGCATGGACTAGTTTTGGTTATCGGGAATCATATGATGACTGCGTGTGTCCTTCACGAACTTGCAATTCGAAGTCTGACATATTGAAAGAGATTAAAAAAGTGTTATCACAAGTGCCACACTGTAAGACGCGAGGTGTTAACTCATCGACGCACAGAGCGGCATCAACACAACACAGTGTTACTCAGGGCTACTTTCAGGCGAACTACAGTGGCTTTGAAGATTGTTCAGTATCCAAGCCTGCTGCTTGTGAAGAAGAGTAGTTATCAGCGAATAGTGAACATGCAGATGGAAAGCACAGCTTGGCAGCGTGGCGCGAGGCGCATAAATACAACAGTGCCGAAGAATGAATTCTCCATGGGTTTCCGGGTATATTACGGCGGATGCAATGAAAAGGACGGTATTTGTGTACTGCACGTCGCTAATATCGTAGTAATCCGTGAATGGGAGCGTGTCCGGTTGCGTAGTTTTGCGATCTTGAACGTGAACTCTTTGCAGCTTTTTACGGAAAGTGATCGGCAAAAGAGTGGAACCTAGAGGAACTTTTCATGCAGAACATTGCCAGATTTAATAAATGCAATTGGATGAAAATGACGAGGTAAGTGAAGCTTTAAAGCGTCCGAAAATCTACGCATTATGTCATTGCTAATCAATGTCATTAAGTCGGAGCTGAAAGTGTCAAATTTGGTGCAAATGAAGCTAAAAATTTTGAAAAAACTGCCGATTTGCGGTAGCAAAACTGGTACCATGCAACGGGGCAATGTACCAGCTTTCGGTGAGTACCAGTTCGGCTTCAATGAGCGCACTTTTTCAGTTAGAATCTCAATTTGAAAAATCCCGTTTTGAGGTTAGAGGCCAATGAACTTGGGGCTTTCAACACAAAAACAGTTCCCAATGGAACATTCTCCTTGGCCAGGTTAAGCAATCGTTAATTCCTGATGGGTTAATGTGACATAAGCAGGCCATATAATTTAAACTCTAATTAAACCCAACAGTTCCATCGACATCGACGTATTTTGTTGTAAAGTGTATACGATCATAAACCTTGAACTTAAGCATTACCATGACAATTATATTTAGTTTCATAGGCAATTATCGTTCGATTATCATTAAAAACCAAAATTATTCATAAAAATGAGCCAAAGGCTAGAATATCATTAGCATGGCAATAAACAAAGGAATTTTGCGTTCAAGTGTGGCAAATTCAAAGTACGCGATCGAAACGACGCCGAGTCGGCGCCCTGGACGCCCTTTGTCCGAAACAGTCACTGCAAGCGCCGTATGCGCTCTTTTATAAGGGCCATTTTCTAATCGGAAAAGGGGGTCCATACGAGGCCTACTTGGCCGCTAAAAACTAAAGCTGACAGAAATCCAAGGCTTGATCGGTTATTTGGATAGGCTTTAGGGGGCATTGCTTGAAACTGGTTGTTGGGTAAAGATGCCAGTCACTCGTGCTTGCGAAACATTAGGAAGAAATCATTTGCCACGAAAGCGTAAAAACCCGAAAACCCATCAGTTTCCATGCGTCTTTTTATTTTGTTTTAGTTCGTTGCGATGCAAAAACAATTTTAAGCGATTTCAGTTCTATTACATTTTTCTCGAAAAATTCTGGTTATTGTTAAGATCAGGCGCTTTTTTGCCGTTATTCGATCCCAATAATAAACCTTCCTAACAATTTTCATTTGAAAATTTGAAAAAAAAACGTTTTCGGCCAGAATTACAATGTTTTGTTTCGGAACTATGCTTCGCTAAACAATTTTTGTCTATGATGTTGCCATGTCTATATGTCATTTTTCTTAGGCTGTTTGTTGCTGTAGTTTTGTATTAATTTGGTTCAATGTTTGGATTCGCTTGTGTTAGTTTGGGTCAGATTAGGTTTGCATAGTTAAAACGCCAGTACATTTTCAATAATTTAAATGAACTGGATCCATCAGATTTAATTAACCAGTTTTACATTTTATTTATTGAATTTCCCTTTATTGTCTTTCTTTTCTGCGTTGTGCCCATTGTGTTTTTAAATATTTTAATTTTCGTTTCCTTTTTGTGACTTTGCTTTCTTTCTCTGTCACGTGCGACGCACTGTTTTGTTCTTGCGTTTTTGTAAAGACTTGCTATTTTCGTGCAGGCTTGGCAACAGTGGTGTAAACTATTGGTTTCTGAGCGCTTAATGCCTGTTGCGTAGGAGGAACAGCTGTTATCATAGAGCGGCAAAAAACCCCTAATCTTAATAATTACCAAAATTCACGCATTCTTAAATGCGGTTTTTGTGCTCAATAGACAGTTTTCGGCTTAAAAATCCCCCAACGCGCTATACAAGGTGTTTAAGTTCGTAATAAGAAAGATATCGTCGGCTAAATATCAAAATCGCCTCAAAATAGTGCATACTTTTGGCGTATTTTGGATCAGAAGAGACACAATTTATCGTTGGTTAAGGATTGAAGTCGCTCAAAATGGGTCACGATTTTCGATTGTTTGGATAAGAGAAGTCTTTTGTGTATTTCCTGAGCTTTTTTGAGAAAATCTAAAATCTGAAAAATCGGTGAAATTTGAACACATTTTTTAGCGTTTTAAGCGATTTGCGTTTTTTGGGAAACCAGATGTAAATGTTATCAAATGTAAATAATAAACCAATTTTCTTTTGGTGAATTTAATGATTGAAAACAATTGCAAATATAATAAGTAGCTTTAACTCTTGGCATATAAAAAGCTAAAGTTTGGCCTTCAGAAAGTTTTAAGTTCACTAGGAGAACCCGCAATTAAAAAATATTGCTAATCAATTCCTAGACAGCCAGTATTCCAGACATTTAACCACCCAATTAACGTTTCCGATGAGGGCATTCATAAGACATCAATTTCAGGAAGTTTGTAATTATAGCTAGGTCTGAGCATTTAATAAACTGGCCATTAGCTGCTTATTAGAGAAGAATGGGGCGAAATCTCTAATAAAATTCACGTACACGTAGCGACACGAACTTTTGTGGCCAGCTGTACTACTAGGAGGGAGAAAAGCGAGTAAGGGTTGGTGCGGAATCCTACAGGCTTTAACCCACCTTTTCCTGAAGAGTGTTTTAGAGGTTTTTCACTATGAAAATGGTCTACGTTTACTTTAATGGATTTGTTTGAAGGCCTTATGTTGCAGAGTCAAGTAACAAATGTCCTCTATTAACGGATCAAGATTCAATTTTAAATGTGTTATTTTAACATCACTTTTTTGATTGGACGGTTTTAACATGGTTAAACATTACAGTTAGGGTTAAAAAATAAAGAAACTATAAAATTTCCACTTTTCCAACTCAGTAACTCGAAAACTTTCACCGGTTTTCACATATTTATTAGAAGTAGCAATGTTTTCCTTCTTTTGTTTAGACAAATTATATAAAATGATGTCAGTTCACCCATTCACTTTGGCCTAAGAACCCTGACTCGACCAAAGCTTATCATAACTTTTCATTTCATTCTGCGTTCGCTAATTGCTAGTTGTAAAACTCAATTTCATTGATAAGCAAAACCATACTATTAGTTGCGACATTGAATTAAAACATGCAGGGTAATTTCGTAACGGTGATTCCTCTGAAAGAGTTGTCTGGGAGCATTTAGGAAATATCTTTAAAACAATTCTGAAAAAACCTTGAGATGTTTGCAAAAAACGAAATCACAAATCCGGCAAAAATGTCAACAGTGTGCCCAAAATAACTTTTTGTTTGCTAAAGTTTGCAATGAGTATACTGATTTATAACCGGAAAGATTTGGCTTATGGACCCGTCGGCTGGATGCAGTTTGGCCATTTAGGCCTCTATGAGCCTGGTATTGCATCGGCCGTGAACTTTTCCATGTCGATGTCACAAGGAAAAACTTCTACTACTACTCTACTTCTAAGCTTTCTACTCAAAGCTGATTCTTCAGGCGTCCAGTTAAAATAATCCAAGAATCCAATAAAGTAATTAGTCGATCCAAGACGACTTAATAACCGGAAAATAATGGATTGTTCGAAACAAATCGTTATTAAAAGTATATAAGACCATAAAATCCATTGTTGCCGGGTTTATAATTTAGCTTTTTGCAAACATCTTAATTTTTTGCAAGAATTAATTTTTTTGCTTCAGATTTTCCCGGAAAATACTAAAAGTTTTACTAGTAAGASAAAAATTCAACTTAAATTGAACATTCTAGTTCCCCCGGGTGAGCCAACAATAGAGGAGATTCACAAATTGAAAACAATTTTCTGAGCTCAAAGAAACCTATTTACATATAAAACGAATTTTTGACTAAAATATTCATACGGTTTAGGTACATGTAGTTTCTGTATAAAAAGCTCGCTTAAAGGCTTTTTTTATATATTTTTTTTTATTTTATTTTTTTTATATGCATATTGAACACCGTGTATATGCATATTGAGAAGCGTCTTCGATTGAAAATTATCCATTTGTCACATAAAACCCAGGTGGAAACTTTCATTTAGAGGGGAAAATGTAACAAATTCGATATTTCCGAAAAAACTCATCCCGCTTAAAATGTCCAAAATGTTTTGCATTTTTTTATCGCAAAGAAGGGATCGAGTTAAGAAAAAAACTAAGGCTCCTCTGTACCGAAAAACCGATAATTATGGCCCATTTTGAACGGTTTCAATCCTCACCCAAACGATATCTTCCTTATTATAAACACAAACACTCTGTGTATTTATATTAAGAACTTGTTAGGTCGAAAACTACCAATTGAGCATACAAATACAGGGTTTTTGTGAAAATTTGGCTACATTAAACTGAGCTGGGATGGCATTTCATATTGGATAGGTTGGGGTTGAATGTCTTAAAATGTGTTGAAAGTTTAACAAATTGCTTGGATTTTCTTCTGAAAAATGGCAAAGTCAAATTGAGAATCACACGATTCGTCTGTTGAACTCAATCATCAACTAGACGTTAAAATTGTTAGTGAGTGAAAGATTTGTAAAACAAATATTAAGAATAGATTTTTTAACTTGACAATGCACAAAATTGATGTAAAGAATCATGAAACCTATATGAAAATATAAGAAAAGTATTTACTAACAAAAATATAAAGTCATTTAAATATAGAATATGGTTTTAATTAATTTCAAAGTTTTCAAGAATTTAAAAATTTATTGAATTTTTAGAATTTCAATTCAAACCAAAGAGAATTATTAGTACTATAAACTCACCTATATAAAATTGAAMAATCGTATTGTATCAGGGGAAATAGCGGCGCTTAGCTGATTCAYAAATTTGAACCAATCAACTTAGCTCGAAAAGTTCCGCAAATGAAACGCATAAAATACGTTCAAAATGTCTCAAATTTGGTAAATTTGTTATCGAATTTTCTAAAATTTATAAATTTTCTGAAAAAGGAAAAACTAAGACCCATTTTCAGTGGTTTTGATCTTCAGCCGACAATATCTTCTTTATATAAACTTAAACACCCTGTATATTAATATTGGGAGTTTCTTTGGTGGAAAACTATTCATTCAGAACAAAAATCACATGTTTTATTTCTGATTTTTACCGAAAAATATAAAAAAATTGAGATTTTCGTAAAATTTTTACTCACTCAAAATTTTATAAAATTTCTTGCACCACGAAGCGAACAAGCTCAGATAAGACACTCTTGTTTCGTCTGACCCGAAATAACCGAAAATGTTACACCAATTTAAGCCGTTTTGACCCTGTATATTGAGGAGCTTCTTAGATCGAAAGTCTAGTCTTCTTTGACTGGAAAATCTATAGGTGAGTCAAAATGTCTTCAATTTTATTCATTTTTCATCGCAAGGAAGCGAACGAACTCAGAAAAAACACACTTGATTGAAATCCAAAAATTATGGCCCATTTCGAGCGTTTCCAATGGCTAATCAACAATACCTTTGTTATGACAAAATCAAAAACTTACTCAAATAATTTCAAGTCGTTCCAAATGCCTCAAATTGTATGCAGGTTTTTCCGAAACACAGCGAACGCGCTCAAATAAGACATTATTGTCTCTTCTCAGTCAATTGACGAAAATTAAGCCCCACTTTGAGCGGTATTCGCGTAAAAATTCCCCTGTAAATCTTCGAATTTTAGCGAAAAGTGTTAGAAATTCGATATTTTAGAGCAAACTGAAATCGCTGAAAAAGCTCCAAATTTATAACAATTTTTACGGAAAAACGAACAGCCTCTGAAAAGACACCGATTTTCGATCCCTTATGATCCAAAATAACCTAAAATTATGGACCGCATATGCATTTTGAAGAGTTTCTCAGATCGAAAATAACCAATTGAGGTCAAACAACGCACATGTAAAACAGCGATGTTTTTATATCAGCTACAGGGTGATTTTCTTAAAACTTGCTAAAACTGAAATYTGCATAAGTAAGTTTAAACGTTTGCATTCAAAAACTACTCAGTTCGACTTTTCCTTTAAGGGACTATTCAGGGGTGTTTAGAGAGTACAAAAATGAATAAAAAGATGCTAATTTTGAACCATTCTGCATTGGCACTGAGGCGCAAATCCTTATCGAAACACTCTAGAATAAAAAATTACGCACAGAAAACATAATACTTTGTAGCTTTAGGTTCAAGAAGTTGACCCATCAACATCATAAYCATCCAAGTGCGAAAGTTAACGACTGTTAACTTTTTGTGGTTTAATGGTATATCAGCTCCGGTTGCAACCTCTCCCTGTATATGCCGATTAAATGCCCAAGTGGACGTCAAGCTTACATCAGTGCGCTATTTGGTTTCCATCAACATACCGAATACCAAAAGAGGCTAGAGAAAACCAGCCGTGTTTGGGCTGGTGCCTAATCGATCAATAATAAACTTACGCAAGTCGTCATTAAGAGGAAGTTCGACATTTTTATTATGTCATAACCCAGTTTAATGGATTTTCCGGCAAGCCTCCGACCTGAGGGGCTTTAGCGGCTCCAACGCATTTCCCGGTTGAAGCTGGAGAGAGAGCAACACGTTTCGAGGCTGAAGCGCCTCTATCCCTTGACTGGGTCAGTGAGTGTTTGTGTGTGTCAATATAAAGTTTATTGCTCCATAGTAAAGTTGCTCTAATCCGGGGTAAGTTCTCGTCTAGCGTCAACTCTTCTCATTCCTGCCAATTGTGTAACTGCTTTCTGAGGTCAGGCCTTGGATTTTCTCCATTCAAAACCATAATCTAGTTCTCTGTGTGATTTATTTCCAGCTCAACGGTTGGGCAGGTTTAGCGGCAAAAATGCTCAGCAACCATGCTGAAGCATAAAGTGCAAGATCGGGAATGCGACGAAAGGTTGCAGAATCTCGACGTGGTGAAATGTCGTGTTAAAATTGTAAGTTTCATGTCTTGGTGTCCGCTTTAATCTCATCTATTCACGTTGTTGCTTTCGCAAACGTAAATCGCCTCCACAACGCCTCTCTCATCATCCACATGGGCGAAACTAGTCAAATAACTAATAGCGCTTTCATCGAGGACGTTTATTGTTTCAAGTGCCTGATAATTGGATTTTGCAACAAAATCTAATTTTCGGGAGTTTTACGCAACAACTCATCATCATGGGATGGCGGCCGAACGAAGCCAACTTCAGCATGCCGTTAACTTCTTAACTACGCAACGTACATTGTTTTAAGGGCACTTAACTCCCGAGTACTCAACCGGCTTTAACGGCTTGTTTATTTTTTCCTTGTATAATTAGATTGCTATTTACGAGTATTTTGTTTTCAATTTCAAAGAAAACAAACTGATATTGCTCTTTAATCCTATCGTACTATTAATGTTTGCTGTGTTTATGTAATTGAGCTAATTTTACACACTTTTGGGATTGTGTGTGTTGTTTGTCGTAACGATAATCGCTCTCAATAAATTACTTTGACCCTATACAGGGTGGTGCAGAAAATGTTTGATTCGAACTGCAAAATGGAGCATCTGAATTGCTGAAGACTAAATTTGCAAAATGTACATGGAATTAATCAATAACAAATAGTGGATTAAAGTGAGCGATTCAATTTACAGGGTGCTCTAGTTTCGTGCATGTAAAAACCTCTGGAAAGAATAGCAAATTACCGACTTTGCGGGAAGCGTTAGGAGAATTGTGAGAATGAATTAGACTCATTTGCAAAACAATGTTTAATACATGTTTTGCCTGTATGCTAGAGAATGTCAAATCTGTGTTTCAATTTTTGAATGCAAACGTATAAACTTATTTAAGTATAAAGATTTGAGTTTTAGCAAGTGTTTAGAAAATCACCCTGTAGCTGATTAAAAACCTCTACGTTTTATATGTGGATTCTTCGAGCTCAATTGGTTGTTTTAGAAGTTTTAGAACCTTAGAAGCTCCTCAAAATGCAAATACAGGATGTTTGGCTTTATAATCAGGAATATATGAATGGTTCACAATTTTCGGTTATTTTGGATCGTAAGGGAGGAGGGCGTGTCTTTTGAAAGTGCATTGGTTTCTTTGCGGTAAAAATTGTATAAAGTGTTTAATTTTTATCGAAAATATCAAATTTCTAACTTTTTTTTAAATATCGAAGACTTACATGTGAACATATTCTGCTCAATGGACAGTTTTGGACCTAACAAGCTCCTAATATTAATATACAGGGTGTTTGAGTTAATAATAAAGAATACCTTATAATCAGAAGATCCCTCGAAATTGGCCTCAGTTTTCGGTCATTTGGGCCAAAAGAGACAAATTAAGAACCGCATAAAACGTGAAGCGTTTTGGGTTTGGTCCAACACATCGAAGTTGTAACATTTTTTCTTCAAAATCGAAAAGTTATATGTGGGTTTTATAAGAAAACAGATATAGTTGATTAAAAATGGAAACCGCTCAAAATGCCTTATAATTTTCGGATATTTGAATCAAAAAATCAAATTTTCGGTTATTAATATGCAAAAAATTGGAGGAATTTTGACTCCCAGGCAGGTTTTCAAAGGAAATAAGTTTTCGACCCAAGAAGCTCCGCAATATGCATATATATACAGGGTGTCTGAGCTTAAAATAAGGACGATCAAAATCGCTCAAAATGGTGCTCTATTTTTGGTTATTTCGACTGAGAAGAAACAAGCATGTTTGTTCTGAGCCCGTTCGTTTCATCGCGAAAAATACTTAACATTTTGAGGCATTTTCAGTGATTAACAGTTTTTCGAAAACATCGAATTTTTTTCGATGTTTTCAAAAAATTATTTTTTTTTTGGCAAGAAATGGAATATTTGGATGTGAAGTTTTGTACTCAATGGATAGTTTTCCTGCTAGGAAGCTTCCAATATGAATATACAGGTTGTTTGAGTTTATAATAAGAAAACTATAGCCGGCTAAAGATCAAAACCGCTCAAAATTGTGCTTAATTTTCGGGTATTTTGGGTCAGAAAAAACAAGTGCGTTTTCTCAGCTGGTTTGCTTTGTTGTCCAAAAAATCTATAAAACTTGCGACATTTTGCGCGATTCAACTTTTTTCAGAAAAATCGAACTTTTTACATTTTTTGCGAAAAAAACGAGCTTGAAAACATAATAAGGAAGATATCGTCTGGAAAGGCTCAAAACGGCTCAAAATGGTGCATAATTTTCGCGTATTTTGGGTCAGAAAGGACAAAAGTAGCTATCTTTTCTAAGCTCGTTTGCGTTGTAGCCCAAAAATCTATAAAACTTTAGACCTTTTGCACGATTTAAGTTTTTCCGGAAACACAGATTTTTATTCTTTTGCCAAAAAACGAGCTTGAGTTTATATTAAGGAAGATATCATCTGCTAAAGCTCAAAACGGCTAAAAATGGAGAATAATTTTCGGGTATTTTAGATCAGAAAGGGTAAAAGTGTCTTATCTGAGCTCGTTTGCTGTGTTGCGCATAAAATCTATAAAACTTGAGGCATTTCGCGCGATTTAAGTTCTTTCAGGATTGATCATTATGGTTTTTTTCGCTATATTTATTTTTTAAATTGTAATTTTTGTTGTTATCTTGGTGCATATTTTGTAATTCTCTTGTCTCTTGATTTGGTCTTGTTGTCTAATTTACATAAAAGTTCATAAAAGATGGGGGTTACATTTTGTATAAATATTTTTAACATTATCAATTATTTTACATTTAAATTACTTTCTATTTGTGTTTGGAAATAGCTTTTCGTGCCGTTTCTTGAGTTTCAAGTAAAAGGTTCAAGTATCTACCACTTTGAATCAAATAGGCAACATTTTTCTCAGGATTCTCCAGACTTCCTTCTAATTAGTTGTTTTTTGTTTGGCGAAACGCATCCAATGTTTAAAACTCCAATAACTGAGAATTGTCACTCTTCAGACCAACAAAACTGCCACCCCAGCTCGATTTATTATCGGTAAATTTTTCGCAAAAACCTCGTATTTTTTGGGCTGATTTTCCATAGACTGCGAGGCTCCAAATCTGCGCAAAAGCCTTAGCCGAAGATTTTCTCGGGGCGCGCGAGTCCATCGACCTATTAAACTATAGCGTAGTAGAGCATTGACGGCTAGCACGTATTAGTCGTGTTTTTTTTTTCGTGAATGACACCATTTCCGGCATATTGTGCGTTTTCCCGACTGAGAAATGTGCCTTTAAGCCCTTCCGCTCCGCTTTACGATGGGCGTCGTCTATTGGCTAACGCTTAGTGTAAACACTGCGTGAGCCTCTAAGTATCGTTTAGTTGGTGTTCGGTTGTTTACGTTAGACAGTGACAGTGACATTGTCAAAAATGTAAGGTAGTGTTTGGTTGGGGGTGGGGGAAATTGCAATTTCACTCAAAAAAATAATTTCCAGCATCAGGGCACGTGAATTTTCGCCCCAAATTGATCAATAATGCATTCAAGGGTGTGACCTAGTTTTAAGGGCCATTTAGCATTGTGCTTGATTGATCTGGGACCCTTTGAATGCTACTTTGATGCTATTTATGGGTTTTCCATCGTGCTGAACATATGCCGAAATTAAACAGAAAATTGATTTATTTTTCATTTTGTAACCGCTTTAACGGCCCAGTTTTGGCGGCAAGCAAAACAAATACAAAATATCCGCTCGCCGTTTCCAAATAGATATGTTTCCGCAAATGTATAAATAGCGAATCAGGAAGTCTGGAGAATATTTCAGGGCAAACACTCAATATCGCTCGTGTAAACAGCGTTTTATTAATAAAATGCCTGCATTTTGACGGTTCGAGACGTCATTCGTTGATTTTTACATTTGGGCAGACATTATGGGATGATTTGAGATTTGGCTAATGACATTTAAAAGTAGTCTGGTGAATATTCAAAAATCATGAAAGGGGAGTTTTTTATAATACAATATCCACATTTGGACCGCCCTAAAGGAAATTTCCAGGGTTATTGACGTTTCCGCTGTCAATACGGACGAATCAGACAGTTGCAAACGTCATATTTAGATCTAGTTTTTGTCGTTTTCCTTTAATCATCTTCAGAACGTATCGATATTTCGTCAATGCCGTAGAAGGACAGCTATTTGGTATTCTATTGGCGCGTCTCGTCTATTTCTTGATGGGCGACATTAAAAATTCAGACAATCAAGCATCCGGATTACGTTTGCCCTTATATGCAGCCTAATCCGGGAAATTGCCATTAAAATACCGCCGCCAGCTTAGCAACTAGCGGCGAATAGACTTGCATGAATCGGTAATTTTTTACATTTGGCCCAAGTAACCCATTGGCAATTTCGCCATTAAACTAAATTCCTGTTTTTTTTTCGTAAAATTCCAGTACAAAATCAACATGCAAAGGTGTCCATACATCCACGAGATGAAGGAGCGTCTCCTAGGCGAACAAGTTCCGGTGGAACAAATCCAGCCGGCCAAGAAACCGTCAACTCCACCGCCTGCTAAGATGGACCAGTTGCAGCCAGTGGCTACTGTGGTCAAGGTAGGTGGACCTTTCGGAAAGTCTTCAACTTCAAGCCAATAATGTGGCTCCGTTTCAGCTCAACCCTGATGGATTCGGGTCTCACACTTCACCTACACATGTCCGAGCCGACATGGCCCCTTTAATGCCAAAGCAACCTGAAGATGATTTTCACGTTTACCATACCAAAGTCTATCCTAAGAATGCCAAGTAAGTGTCTTCTGATCTGAACGTAATTAATCATGTATGGAAAGCTTTAGCAGAAATTTTAATGAGTGTTGGTTATGGATATCATTTTCAGATTAAACAGATGCATTTGCGTTTACAGTATGTGAATTGAAATTTAAAATAGAAAAATTCATAATAATTTAAAGTGGTAGTTGCGGAAAAACATAATAAAATGTTCATGTTCATGTTCACCATGCCAACACCGCAATATACAGCAAGCAAGCAAATATATCAGAAAATAAGTACATTATTAGCTACTGCTTTCCTGATATTTTGTTTCGCATGCTATTCATATACAGGGTGTCCCGTAGGCAGAACTTTCCAAAGAATGTGGCAGAATGAGACAGTCATGTACTTACGGGACATCCTGTATATCAAATTGATTAGTCCGCAGCAAATGTCCGTTGTTGCTCCCGTAGAAAAATGTAAACAAATTCATCTATTTAATCTGCAGTTTTTCAAGGTTCAAACGGGGATAGAAGTAGGGCTGGAGTGAAGCGAGTTTTCGATAATCCAAGCGATCGTATGCAATATTTTTGCCAAATAATTCTACCCAATAGGGAGATTTCGCGCATGTCGCCCCCATTCTGAGGGTGGCGTTTACATCGTAAAAACCGCACGCGAAACGTTTGATGCAAATGGCCACTTGAGCCTTCTCAGAAGTGTTTAGTGATAGAGAAAAAATAAACAAAGGTCTGTTGGAATGATATTTGTAATGGAGTGGTGTGCTTAGGGTGAGGCGAGGTCACGCGCGAGGTCACTGGGTCGAAATCCCGGGACGCAGCCTCTCGAAAGCCAATCAAAAACGCCCGTAGAACGACACGTGACTGCAGCATCCCTTCCTGCTCCTGCAAACTCTCCGGTTTTTCGAAGGGATTCAGTCGCCCGCCATTCGATACGCTCGGTTCCGGGATTAACGTCATCAAAGTCGCCCTTTATGTGGACGCGCCGAGCCCCAAACCAACCGAACCCTTTCCGCAATGGAATTATGTGAATTGGTCGAAAGTTTTTATTAGAAAATCCACGTCTGCCCTCCATTAAGCGGTGCCACCCCGAATGATCCTCAACTGATTCAGCTGACCGGATACTATGTGATATACGAAGGCAACGATTGTTTTTGACACTTACGTACAACGACACTGTTGGTTGTTGGGTTTTTTTACTGTTTGGCGCAAAATGGCGACTGGTGAGCTGAAAATTTCCACCGTCGAGGTGGAGTCGGAGCACAATATGGCGACCCTTCCGGTGTCTCGCACCCATCATCACGATTCGGATGAGAAAAATGCCCCCGAGCCTGGCAACAAAGACCTCGGGCTTCGGTTTGTCCAGGAGAAACCCGATAAAAGGTAACCGGATTTGTGTGTAGCAGGAACACACCCTTTTCGAGAAAATTTACCTCCCATATTTTTTCGCGGGGAAATTTTTGTGAGTAAAATAAACGGGTTTTCGCTCGTCAGTACTGCCTAGCCTAAAGCAATCAGTAGTCGGCAATAAATCTGCTCGTTTTGCGACAAAATGGCCGCTCTTTGTCTTGTCATTCAGGGTCAATGTCTCTTTCCAAACTTCATTATTTGGCACATTTCAGTAATTGAATTGACTTGTCACTTTCAAAATTTGCGATGTTGAATTAAAACTGACTGCAAGCTTGCCATTGACTGATTAGTTGTCAACGTAGAAAGCTACGTAAAGTGACGTAGGCAACGAGAAAGTCCCTCTGCCACTGAATTAGTATTTAATTTCATTTTACGCAATTGGCACCGTTAAATGTGTTGAATTGGAAGTGGGAAATCCCGATCGGTCATGCGACTGATGAGGGTCGATTACACTGGGAATAAATTGAAAAAAATTGCCGTTATCGAGAACACTTCTGATTTCTCTCACAGCACACAAACTAGCACAATTAATAAGTCTAGACAGTTTTAAGCCTCTTGGGGCCATTCCGAAGAGTGTTTCCTAATGGAGTTTCCACTTAAATTGCCACATGTTCCGTTCAAAGCGAATCCACTATGCAAGGTTACGGAATCTGGCTTTATTTTTGAAAATTGAGGACGAGGTGGGGAAGACAGTAGTAATCGGACTAGCTCACTGAATTTTACGATATCCAGAATGTAGTTGGTGTTTTGGCGCGTCTTGGATTCGTCCATCGGTTATTTTTACGATTTCTCTGGAGCAAACATGATGCGGGAAAGAAGGCTTATGAAGTATTTGTGCGTAGCCAGCGAGCCGCAGTATGTACTTTTCACCCAGAATTTAGCCTAGATGATAATAAAATACCCCGAAGAAAAAAAAATCCCGAGCTAGCGGCTGAATGGTTGTTGCTCAATAATGTTTTCAAAAATCCTATGATGTCACTTTTTGTCATTCACAGAAATAGGTTCTTATTTCATTCAATATTTGCATAATTTTTGAATCTCCGGCAGATTAAAACCCGGTTATCAAGAGCTTTAGTCACACCTCAAGATCCTCACCTTTGGGCAATTACACGTAGTAGCGCCCTAATTGAGGGTTTAATAACCCAAAAGGCTTTACGTTCACTTAACCGCTTTTACACCTTATTAATTATTCTTTTACCGCTTATTCACTTAGTAAAACTTTTAATTTTGCTTTCAGAACCTCCCTATTCATTATCATGAGCTTTGTGTATGCGAAGCTTCTGGTCGTAGTATGCATAGCGTATGTTTTCTCCGACTCTGTCACTCACAACATTCCTCTCTACTACTACGAAGGTTTTTTCACTTACCTCTATGGAATGAGTATCTGGTTCCTGCTCTATGTGTTCCTGTTCCTCCTCCAAGAGAGCTCCTGTTGCGCTGGAAATGAACGAGAGCCAAAGGTAAGTAAAGTATAGTTTCAAGTAAATGGAAAATATTGACGGTGCAGTAAATGGGTTTTCATTCATTATTCAATTTAACTACCCCTAGCATTTTCCCAGCCAACGCCGAACGTGATAATCACGTGAGAATGGATCGCCAAAGTCACCGATTTTATCATGTCATTTTGACGTGATGGTCACAGTAAAGTGACGTTCACAAACGGTGATAGGACGGAGACAATATGTCCCTTTTTGTGTCTTGTGTGTTGCTACATGTTAACGTATCACACAGTTGAAAAACAGTACTTATAAGAAACGAAATATTTAAAACAATTTAAACGTTTCAGAGAAAACCTTTCAAACTGCACAACAGTTCTTTACAAAAATAACCTATTTTTAAAACTAATACCTAAAAATGGTAGAAAACAAATGCATCATTATGAATGCTGAAGAGAAATCGTCGTAATTTAATACAAAAAAAAATAACCGAACAGCATCGGATTTCCTTTATAAACAACGAAGTGTTGAGTAAATTTGCAGGATTAAAAGTTTTGAAAATTCTTTGGGGCATGTGGCCTTTTTAGGGCACACTTCAAACAGTAAAATGAAAATTAGAAAATTTTTGCTCGCTTAAGAGATAGAGCAAATTTTAAAAAAATGTCAATTTCAAAATGGTCTTATAATTTCTCACTTAAAAGAGACAAAGACTCAAGATTTTTAATAATTATTACCGAATAAGCTGCAGTTTTGAGAATAAGTATACAGGGCCAGGTAAAAAAGTTTTTGAACCTAGTCATTTTTTTATTGGAACAACCTGTATATTTAAAATGAAATGCCCGCAAAATCACGTCTTATTGACGCCTATTGTGAACGAAAATATGACACGAGCAAAGCTGAGCCCATTATGACGTGCTTTGACGTTAATAACGTTCGGCTATAATCATAACAATTCGCCACATGAGACGGTATTAGGTCTTACCGTGGCTGCTCAAATAGTTTGCACGGATTTAACAAAGCGGTTTTTTCTAGGTGAAGCCGCCGCCTAAGCAAAAAACGAAAGAGAAAGAAAAAGAGCTGAAGCAGGAGGAGGAGAAGAAAAAGAAAGAGGAAAAGGAGCAGAAGAAAAAGGAGGAGAAGGAGAAAAAGGAGAAGGCCAAGAAGAGCAAGAAACCGGACAAGGTGAGTATTGACACTGGGGCGCATTGAATATGAGAGTAACTACGCGCAAACGAAGATCGCCGAGTCACTTTGTGTTGATGATTCCGGATTGGATATTTGATTGTTATGGGTGTGGTTTTGAGAGAAAGCCAGAAATGAATGGATGTGTTGTCACATAAGCAATCGACAATCTACTCCGGAGTCGCCGATTTTGCTAAAACCTCCTAACATCCAGGATGTTTCAGCAAAAAGCGTCCAGCTCCAAAACCAAACCGGACGGTACGCGCGATCCAGATTTCAACATCTCTTTTAGTTTCGAAGATATTAAGGTATGTACACGCATACTCTCTAATTGGCCACGCATTAATCGCCTAATCCAGCTAGGAGTGGAACAGTGGGCAAATTACACCGCCACCCAGTGTTCGGCTTCGACTTGTTTGGGCCAATTAATGCGCTAAATAACTTTAAAACTGTGTGAGTAGTAGTTTAGATCGCTTCACTATATCCAGCACTAGTCGAGTTTGGTTTTCGGAGTTATTTAACTCTCCGCTATTCGCAAGTCGCTGACGACAATGTATCAACTTACTAGCAAGCCCACACAATCGATTGCATTGTGCCATTGTTATCGGGTTCTTCAACTTGGCGATCTTCCTTTGTCCGTGAAAGCGATACCAGAAAAAATCACCGAGCGAAAAATTGCCTCTTTAGATCTAATAACTTTGGGTTCCAGCTATTTTCATCACTATTCCAACACAATCACTCATTATTGGCCAGGCTTTAGTGGCTCTCGACAAATAGGGTGCGGAATCAATGCGAAAATATCCGCATCGGAACGCCCAACCAACAAACTTTTGCGGTTTATTTGTCACAGCAATCGTATTTTATCTTCATAAGCAGTAGCGCCTATCAAACCCCCTATTATTTGACAGTGACGTGATGATTTGAAAGGCCATATTGAAATTTGCGTTTTACGGCGACTTGAAAAAGGTAATTCTTGATGAATTTATGAAACTCAAAGAAACTGCGAACACTCACCAAGAAATCAAATCAATAATTTAAATATTCTTTCATACTTCCGCAAATTGTAACAATTATTCAAAGAAGAAGGTTAACATAGTTTCCGTTTCGCTTGGTGGACGAGTAATAGAAAAAGACGGACAATTATTGCGTCACTACCAAAAAACTTGGGACCGACTACCTTGTTTGCTGGGCGATCGCTATCCAAAGTCGAAACCACTCAATCTGGCAAAGCAATTCTGAACAAGCTTCAGCTTTGCGGTACTAATCGAAAAATCCTCCTTAACACTTTAACTCCCATCCATTCTGATTAATTCTCGCCGTTAATCCTACTGTTTATTTTTTTAATTTTAGTTTTATTTGCTTGTTTTCTGTTTTTTTTGTGTTGTGCGTGTAGAGGGAGATGTTTCCGCGCAAGATGCGCGACCTGGTTCAGGCCAAGGCGGAACTGGGGCGCACTTTTAACATGAAGGTGAGCTATTGCGATTCAGTAACTAAGTAGATCTTATCAAGTGCTAAAACAGCTTAACCACTGTACAGGGTGACCGAGAATTTGCCGTCGGGTATAATTTTTTCTCTTTTACAATAGTTTCTCAGACTTGCGTCGCTCTGTACAGACCTCTACAGGCTTGTAGCTAACCCATCCGCCTACCTAACGGCCTTAACCCATTTTCCTGCCGCTTTCAATCACTTTGCTTTAATCTATGCAGTAATCCAAAGAAACTTGTACACGCACAACCACTTTTAATTTATTGCACTTGGTGGATAAGGTGGTTACGTTCGGCTGGTCATAAAACATTTGTACAATATTTCACACAACATGGAGCTAATTTAATGGTTTTCTTCATATAAACGCGGGGTTTAATTAGTCGCCTGAATACATGTGTCAGGCCTTTATAAACGTCGCCTTTACATATAACGAACATCTAGGCCTACTCTAGTTCTGTGGTATCTTACCGGCTCTGTCTACTCGTGACGTAAGAGCAGTTGGGCCTTGATTTGAGGTGTTGCCGCTTTAACCCGATAAAATTATTGAATTAATTTAAAGCCGCCTCTGTATCTCCGAATGAACTATGTAAATCGATTGTAGGTATCCCTCCTTGTCTAACTTTATAAACTCCCATTTCACTAAGCCTGGGTAACACTGTGTTGTGTGGCACTTTTGTGTTGATGCCGCTCTGTGCGTAAATGCGTTATAACACCTCGCGTCTTTCGGTATAACACCTTGAATAACACTTTTTAATCTCATTCAAGATGGCAGACCTCGGATTTACTCCAAAGATTGTTATACCGCGTCAATAGCAACGTCTCTATATATCTCTAAGATGTAAACTTGTAGTAGCAATCAAATTAATACAGCAAGAAAGTAAATTTAAATATCTCGGAATAGAACTATTGGAATATGGCGATATGGATAGGGAGGTAAGACAACAAACAATTAAGACACTAAGAGTGATTGGAAGTTCAGTTCATTTGCTCAAATTTGGCTTGTGCAAGCCAGTTTGTGCAGATGGCCTGAGCGTGTAAACCACTTTTTTACTACGAACCTGAGGTTATCATTATTTTCTCGATTTCCCTATTTAATCGGAAATTCAATAATAAAATCAGACGTTAAATTCGAAAATTGAAAAAAATTAGGGGGCTTGATGAAATATGCAACAGTTTGAGGTGTAAAAACATGCACGTTTAGAGGCTATAACGGTTTGCCAACATATCTTTATGAATTAAAACAGCGTAGCACGTAGATTATTAGGTCCTTTTAGAATCACAGAAGACTGTTTTCCAAATTCGCAGCGGGTATTTTATGTGGGTCAATTTATGTGGCACCCAGTAGCCGTCAACATTTTCATATTTTTCCGATTAATTCTAAAACTCGAAATAAATTGATCCCAATTGACTCCAAAAACTGCCGTGGGAGACATTTTCCTCTAAAATTCATATTCACTGAGATATCGCACAAAGATGACGCACTAATGAGCAACCCTGTATATGTACTTCGGTCGACAGAGGCATTCAGCTTCTGAGCCGTTTGTGGAAATGACTTGCCGTAAAAGACGATTGGTAAATTTTTCTGCATTAAATACTAATCAAACTAAATCTCTGAACGTGGATATAATTCAGGAGTAGAATTTCATCATCCATCATCTGCCAGCGACTGTTCTAGCTCATTTGAATTGGTAGTAGAGGCTCATGAATAAAACAAGTGATTGCAACCAATCATATATTATCAATACGTGAGTGTCCAGAATGGAAAACATGCTGTTTTCATCTACCTCTTCTACAACTTCCAGATGTTTTAAGCTACTCTTGTCTTGCCATCTTTTTACTGCTTCTCCAGCCGAGCGCCACTTTCTTTCCAGCAGCGGTCCATTTAATTTTGGTTATTTTGCGTTTTGGTTCACCTCCATTATTCTCCCGTTCGATCAGAGCACCACGTACCGACGCAACAGCGAAGGCGTGGTCGACGCTGAGGACGTGGTGCCGGTGCCCGTAGCCGAATTATCGGAAAGGGTGCAAGCGGCTGACCATCGTCACTCTTCGCAGGGCCCTCAGCAGGAGGGAGGAGCACCGCCGCCGCCCGTGCCGCCACCGACCGCCCCCGTTTCTGAGCACATTAACAACGTGGACGTGGAAAGTGGTGTTGCGCTGACCCAACAGTCTGCGCAGCTGAGCAAGTGCAAGCGGAAGACCACGCAGAACGATCACAGTCACGGCAGCTTTTTCCTGAGAATCGGCGCAATCGGTTTGTGTGGCTCGAAGAATCTGAAGTGGTGATGGGAAGAATCGACTTTTCGAGTAGTTCGATTTTTCCCATCACTACTGTTAAGGTAGTATTTAATAGGGAGTTTTATGCGCAGCTTTCGGACTGGGCACCATGATCTATAACGGGTTGGAGTTTGGGGTGTTTTTCGAAATTCCCCTTAACTCGCCCTGCTACATGATTCTACGGGGAATCAACCCCTTGCTGCAGATGATCTTCACCTTTATGCAGATGTATTTCATTTTCATGAATTCACGGGTGAGTCAACAGACTTGGGCAGTTATCGGACAGGTTTTACCCTATTTGATTTATTCAGCTGAACATCCACCGATTCAAAGTGATTGCACGTTTCGGCCTGATGCACGTGGTTGCCACCAATTTGTGCGTGTGGATCCGGACTCTGGTCCTCGAATATATTAAGGAAATCACCATTTATCATCGGGACCTTTTGAACGCCACTTCTGTTGTTGCCACCGAAGGATCACCGTTTGCAGGTAAGAACGCAGCGTTATTCGAACATTTTTGCGCGAAAAAACAATTATTATAGTTCAACTCTTAATTTCTCTTTATAGGAATACATAAAATATACCTATAAGGAGGTGCAACTAAGACGCTGTGAAAGATTACGACTAACTGGAGTGTAATTTTGAAATTATTTTTTAATGCGATATTGGCATCAATAATCCATTACGATTATGAAAAAGAATGAACATTACAGTATTGCAGCCTAAAAAGATGTATAACTAAAGGTTGTGTTCAAACAGACCACTCTCATTATGCACACGCATTTAAGGTACCTATATGCATAAAATATATTTTTACCTCTTGAATTGTACTGAAAAATTTCGAAAACTTTGCCTTACTCTTGTTTTCGTATCTTCAGTTGAAATTGATATACGTTTGTAAGCTTCAGCCTTAACATGATCCGATCGAAAAGTCAATTGGTGTTATGTCAGGTCATTTAGGTGGTCATTCAATTGCACCACCGCGTCCAATCCAGTCATTTATCTTTTAATCATCTAATTTCTTACATTTCGATGATGTGCAAGTGCACTGACTTTAAATTTTTTTAAACCGATTTAGTCAGAAAGGTGTGATTTAACTTCAAGTGTCTATATCTGTCAGACTCTGACCCGTAAACCTAATATCAAAATGATCTTTATTTTGTGCCCCTTTCAAGTTCGAATTACCAGAGATTTTTGGGAGCACCCTGTGTCCCAAAAATAATTTAAATAAATGACGAATATTGAAGCAAATGTCAGAAAAAAACATTTTCAAAGTTTTACACCGGTTAGCCATACTCTTCCCCACCCAATTAAAAATTGGAATAATATACAGGGTCTTCCATTGAAAATATGCACCTGGACGCAGGCCTGGGTAACACTGTGTTGAGTTGCGCTATTGAGTTGTTGCCGCTCTCTAAGTTAACGAGTTATGACTCATCGGTTCATGAGTTATAAGTCATTTATTAAAGCTTTACGAGACCCGAGACTGGAATTTTCACAACTAAAAAAAAGTCATCTGGATTTTCCCAGCAACAGAACTGAGTCCAAAGAAAGTTGACGAGTTTTCTTGTAAAATCGATCTCTTAATTTTTTTTGCATTTGCATTGCATTTTGCTCAGTTTGCCAGTATTTTACAGTAAAACGTTAGGAAAAACGCGGTTTTTCTGTTTAGAGACAGTGTTGTTTAGAAATATTGACATAAAAGTGAAAAAACCCCAGTTTCCAAGAGTTTTCCAAATAAATCATTATAAACTTTCGCTTTTTCAGTTCGCGGAAATATTTTTGGAAAAAGACCCAGAAATAATTATTAGGCTTTTGTCCATAATTCGAAGCTGCAAAGTTTTCCAAAAATTTTTGGAACTCGGTTAAGGAGGCGAGTGTTCTTATAAAATGTGACTTATAATTTTCCACAGAAAATACCTGAAGATTGTCAGTATTTTAAGTAAAACTAAAAAATAATTCCTTACCTGACAACCTAAAAATTTAAAAGAGCTTTAAAAATCTTCAGAGAGATGAGCGATGCGCAGTAAATTTTTCAAATAATTTTTTTTTAACTTTTGTTCTCTGGTCCTTTTCAGGTTTGGAGAAAACCTTAATAGCTTTCGTGGAAAAACGGGAGAAATTTATTTTCGTTTTTGTCCCGAATTTGACGCTGAAAAAAGCTATAAATATATCTTATAATTTTTCACGTAAAATACGTCCAGATCGTTAGTATTTTTAAGTAAAAGTACACAATAGATCGTGTTTGAGCAGAAAGTAAAGGGAAAAAAATCAGTCTAAACTAAAAATCAACATTTTTTTTAACAAACTCTACAGTCTTCTGAGATATGGAGGTAACTAGATTTTCAAGTAATCTGTTATAACTTTCGCTTATTCTGTTCGTTTTTTGATAGAAAATTATTTGATTTTTGTTCCAAATTCGAAGCTGGAAAGAGATTTCAAAACTTGTTACAAAGCGACGAAGGCTTTGAAATTTATTTCATAATTTTCGCGGAAAATACCTTAAGATTATCAGCATTTTTAAGTGACACTTTAGAAAATTGGGCATTTAAACGAAAGAGCAACTTGGTTAAAACTGGAAAATTCTGAAATTTTGAAGAAATTTTAAAAATATTATTAATAAATTGCCCTTAGAATAAATCTAAAAACAAGTAAAGAAAGTCATCAACATTTTCCCAGCAAAGGAAGCGCCAACTCCTAAAAATTCACTGAGTTACCCAGGCCTACCTGGACGCCTCCTTTTGGTATAATCCAAAGTGCGGTCAAATTTAAAACATTTCAGATCGTTTGCTCCCAGTGGTACTTGGGTATACTTTTAATTAAAAAAATATATAAATCAAACCGATTCCAATTTGGTCACCCTGTATAGAGTCGCAGAAAGTCAATAAAGCTTGTTTTGACCGATTGGCAATCCCGTACTAACCCGAAGTGAATTAGAGCGGCTTTTTCCAGCGAGCATCAGACAGCACATTCTGCGCAACGCTAACACCGTGCTGGGCACGCATTTAGCGAAGCCGGACGTGTTGCCTGCCAGCGTCACCACCACTGCTCGCAGCTTATTTGCCGCTACAGTGGCAGCTACGCCCTCTAACGTTAAGCAAATTATCAGCACAACCGCGCGCACTGTCTACCCTTATGTTAACAATATCGTAACTAAGTCTACCACTACGACGTCCACCACTACTACCACGTTGCCTCCGCCTACCATCAGAAGTAAGTGGGGATTTGATGTACTGTACAGCAGAAGCTAGTAGGAGCCTGCTTGGACTAAAATTCACTGGCCAGCCGCTTTGAGTAGTGGTAGTAGAGACATTGACAATACTTATTTAATAACGCAGACAAAATTAGATCTTGTTAAAGTACACACCCCCGTAGTAGTTGCGTATGCTTGTATCTAATGCTAATAATTAATGTGCTTTATAACCCATTGCTACATGGAAAACTATCATTTTCCATGTACCATTCTAACCTAACTAACCAGCTATAATTTTCGTCTAAGATGTGTTCACAACCGCAAAAACCATTCCTACCACCATGTGGCGCATGTACAAAAGCAGCGCCGCCCCTTTCGTTCATGCTACTACGACCAAACCGACCACTTTCGCGCCACCCTCGACACTGTCCACATTGCGCACGACAGCGGCCCGATCCTGGCACGGCTTTACGACTGAGCGGGCGTTCTCCCCCACCACCGCCACAACGCCGAGAACTTACGCACCGTCGACTTACGCCACCTTCAGTGAATTCTTCGACTTGCAGGGTTTTAACAGTTTATTGGCTAACGATGCGGTTCATGGTATGTGGGCTGGTTTTTACTAATTTGCATGTACTTTCATTCACAGGTGGCAGCAGTAGCATGTATGTTATCTTAAAACTTGCTCTAAATTTTGTTCCTACGTGAGACTTATTTTTGATGAAGCAACCGAGTTCATCTGCTTTGGGAGAATTCTGGACTCTTTTCTGCGGATTATTTATGCCCGTTCCCCTAATTTTTAAAACTCAAATCGGAAAACTGTTCCAGTTGCTGACGAGCCGAATTTGGTAAACGAGCTCTCTAGTGCCGTTTTGAATAACAGCAGCGAACTGCTGGATAATTTATCGCCGCAACCGTTCATCGGCTTCTTCACTCGTAACATCACCGCCTCCAGCGACAGTTGCGGTCGCATCAACATCATGGGCACCATTGTGCAGGACTCTGCCCCCTACTTATTCCCGTTCATAATCGAGTACTCTCTAATCGGAGCCGCCGTCATCTACTGCATGTGGAAGCACATCGGCAGAAACCCCAGGTGAGCCTCCTGCCAGTTTCGTCTCAGCTGAGCTACAAGTAACAAGTTGCAGATACGTCACTCAGGAAGACCTGGAGCATCGTTTGGAAATTATGCTGAGCAGGAGGGCGGTGGCGATGGCGCACGCTCAGCAGGGCCGCGTTGACTGTGTGGGTGCCTCCAAGGGCTTGTTCTTCGGACTTCTGATGCTCGTAGCCTCGCTCATTTGTCTGATCCTGTTCTTCGTCATGATCCACCACAAGGACTTGGGACTGTTGGCTATTTACCTTGCGGACGTGTCGCACTGCGTGTTGATGGTGCTCAGCATTGTCGCCATTATCATAGGCTTCATCAGGTAAGTCTCCCGACCTAACGGTAAAATTGTGCTAATGCCGACTAACTGGTTTTGTAGGGTCCAAAACCTCAAGTTCAAGACGGAAGAGCAGAGTGACTTGAACGACATTCTGCTGCGTGTGTCTGCTTTTGGGCTCTTCACTTACGCGGTCTTCAGTGTAATCGCAGGACACTTCAAGGCGCTTACTATGGAACCCAACATGTTGGTTATGATTACGGGAATTCTGTCGGTTCTACAGGTGAAGTTAACTATGTCTAATTGTCCACATTTCAAAACGGTTCTTTTCATATATAAGAATATCGCATATTTTTCCTATATGTAGGTTCAGTTGTAAATAGATCATTGAGCCGCAACTTTTTAGAGGAGATATTGTTGAAATCCCTTGATCTTTTGATATTCAAAAACCAACAGGTATTTACGTAATCTTCGTTTCTGGGCAGACAATAAACGAAGGATATACACTGATGGACAAAATTAGCGCACCACTTAAACATTTTCGAATAAAACATTTTTTCTCCAAGTAGGCTGGTAAATAATGTAACCATTGTAACCTTGTACAATACCAATTGTTTTTGGTTCTTTTCTATTAATTCCAGTGCAAGTTTCTACTTGTTTTGTGTCATTTACAACATCTCATCATTGTTTTCAGCAAGTGTGGCACTGTTTTCAATTCAATTTTCTTGCGTTTTTCCTAACTTGGGTGTATAACTAAAGTGTATTCGCATTGAAATGTCCCCAGGAAGTTTAGTGAGTTTGATGCGGTCAAAATTGTCACCTTGTTAAAGGGTATTCCCAACGTGAGGTCGCCCGAAGGTTGGTCCAGTGATTTAGATCATGATTAAATCAATGATATAAATCATTTGAACCCTGCTCTATTTATAGTAACAATGGGGAATAACGGGGCACTTTCATTTCAGGTGGTTCTTCAGCTGCTCTTCATCGCCGACGTTTCTCGTCGCCGAGTTCATCTTCCCGAACACGATCGCACTAAACCCGGCCGTCAAGTGGTCACTTTCCTCCTGATTTGCAACATCACCATGTGGATTATCTACACGTTTGAAGCTCAAAAAGTAGAGGCCAATCCCGTCCAGAAGAACTTCTACGGTTTCCTGACTTGGGCAATTGTGCAGCGTCTCACGTTGCCGCTTTGCATTTTCCATCGCTTCCACTCGGCCGTCACATTGGCGGAGATCTGGAAAACCAGCTACAAAGCTCGACTGGAGTAAAGCGCGCCTTCACACCAAAGATTTGCTCATTCAGGCTGCGTTCAAGTCGATGATTGTTTCATTCATGGCGATTCAGGCTTAGATTTTTGCGATTAGTTTGCGAAGCGATTTTGTATATATTGATGAATAACTCACACACACATACACAAGTCTGATCGGTTTGCTCATGTATGTAAATACGGCGGAACAACTTGTTTCAGCGCTGTTTTAAGGGGCCGATTGACGACTTTTATTTACCCTCTCGACTCCGTAGAAAGATCTGCCTTTACCATCCGACTAGGTAACAGCGATCAATTTTCTCGTGCGCGCTTTCCAAAAATCCATTTATTTAGTGAACAATGAACGAATCAAAACGTATATGCCATTTATATATAAAAACCCGTGTTGTAGCTAATAACTATGTACATAAACCTCGATGTCTATAATGATGTTTGTACTTACGTTTTCGGTGTTTCCTGTTTAAAGAGGTTTCATATTATTGTGTGGACCATATCTAAGACTCCAAATTTTATTTTTCGATGTCTTTCCAGAGGTAGAAACAGTACAATATCATCGCGTAATTTAAGACAGGCTGTCTCGGCCTTACAGTGATGTAAAGAACCAATTTTAAGGTGAAACCATCCCATCCGCATACATAACTGTGGTAGCTAGATTTGCACTATCGACTCGTTTTCATTTGATTTTGTATTTTTTAAGAGTTTATTTTCTGTTACTATAGTCTAAGTGTAGTAAAGGGTATTATATAGTGTTGTGACAAATATCTCTCTATGTGTGTTGACATACTAAATTATACAACGTAGGCTATATATGTATCAAAGAGTGATGTTAATTTATGTACATACCATCTCATTGAACGTATTGTTACATTACTTTACGTTAAACTCGTACGTTTCCATTCTTCTCCGATTAGATAGATTTAAGGGTATAATAATGTATTACCGGGGTGCAGCAGAAATTGGCTCAGAACCAGGCTGTGGGTTGAGCTGCTACGGAATCGTTCTCTAACACTGCCGTTTCACTTTGGACGTATTTGTATTAAAACATTTTTAGAGGTAGTTTTGCGGCAAGAGTTTTATTTTGCGAGCTGCAAAGCTGCAGTTGTAACATGCAATTGTTTATATGAGAAATAGATGATTAGTTTCATTGTCAAAACCTTTTGTCACGTCGCGACGTTTCAAAGTGTTTACTTTTACTATTAAACAATTATCTGAGAATTTATTTTATTGATGCTGTGTTCGAAGGTAACAAATGACGTACCTTGTAGATGGTCCTTTACCAACTTTTCTGGAACTGCAATTTTCGATCACTTTCTACTCACTGAATTTCACTACTTATGCCCGGTTGCACCGTTTGACTAAACAGTGATTCAAAATTTAATTGTCGTTTAGTTTGAAAAATGTGTTGTACCGTCGCTTAACCACTGTTTTGTGTATTCTAAACAACGATTATATTAACCGGCACTTTTTGGCTGATTAGCGCCCGATTAGGGACCGTTTAGTATATTTTCTTGTTTTTTTTTTATTACGGGTGACAGTGGCTATGGCCTTAGATCCTATTTGTTAGCCCTTTTAGTTAATCCTGCAACAAGAGCCGAAAGGCTATACAATAAGTCCCATATCCGAACAGGAAACGTGAGCGAAAGATGTTTTGGAGTTTGGAAAAGAAGGTTTCCCGTTTTGGCGTATGGCTTGAGAGTAAAACTGGAGACCGCAATGCACATTATTTCGGCAACTGAAGTTCTATATAATATGACAAAAAATATGGGTGAAGAAGATCCTCTTTTGCTTGCAGATATTAATGAGGAGCTGAATTATTTAATTGCTGTTAGGGAAGCAGGCACTGTACCAGAACCACACAGCCAAGCTTTAGTTAACAACTTTAGAAGTCAACTTGTAAATTATTATTTTTCTAGGC